GCTCACACCGCCGTACATGTGCGGATGCCTTGATGATCTCACCAAGCTTGTAGGTTAAGTCATCTTCGCTCCGCATAGCACCACCGTCAACTGCTATACTTGGACGGACAGGAGGAGGCGGGACAGGCATAACCGTGAGAATCATCCACTCAGGACGAGCGTACTCATCCGAAAGACCTATCAGATGAAGGTCGGAGTCCGACATCTTCTTGAACGTCGTATAAACCTCAGATGGAGTAATCAACCGCTTGTCAGGCTGCATCGATTTCACATCCTGAAAACCGGTCAGCAACAGCATTCAGTAGTGCTGCCATATACCGACCTCATCCTCATCTTTGGGTCGCTTGTACTGGACGAAAAGCTTTAAGCCCTCTTTCCTAATGGCCGGTTGTACATGACCACATCCACCATGACCTTTTTTGGGCTCATCCGCATCTCCTTCAGCACCATCTTCCTTTGGCTCGTCAGTCTCACAGACCATTTTGGTCTTGCAGTGCGCCCATACAACGGCCATGCGTGCCTTGGGATCGCGAATATGGCGGATCTTGTCGGCGAAATTGGGATCGGACTAAAGCACGACAATGGCATTGAACGAACAAATTAGGAAGCACATGAAATGTAAACGTCAGCATCAACTTCGACGGAAATAGAAACATTATCTAAGGAATTTCAAGGCATCACAAGGAGGCAGCCGACATGACTTGGCATATATGTCGGCCAATGGTGAACCCTCTTCCCGCGTCACAGGGAGGGCCACCAAACGCGAGCCCAGGAAGGTGCCTTCAGCACTGGCTGGACTACGATTTTCGCACTCCTCGTTCAGCGCCCCATTTCACCGCGCACCTCGTGTCCAACCATCACTGGGCGTTTGCAATAGTCCACGCGGCGATCAAGCGATCGAAAACGCGCGCAGACCACGCCGCAGTGGGTCAAACGCCTCGTTTGTGCGAGGTACTGCCGCGGTGCGGGTTTGGGGTTCTCCGATGGATTATGGAGAGAGCCCCCAGAAAATTGGGTGGTGGGGTGCGAAACGAGTAGAGGAACGAAATTCAACTCACGATGTCGGCTTTTAGCTTTCCACAGTTTACGCAGATACACTCCAGAATCTTTTTCACTTTAATGATGAAACCTGAAAAACCGAATGAATGTCGCACACTAAGACAAAGATAGCTTTGCCAACACACCTGGGTGAAAGACCGGCCTCGCCAACTCGATATGACCAAAATGACCTGGACATTCTGACATTCCCTCTCCACAGGTCTGACACTTGAAATTTCGGTCGATGGTTCCCATACGAGGATCCATTAAACCGCCCATCTTAGGTTTGTGTGTTGTCTCGTCCATGACCTCTGGGTGTTCCACTTTTGCCACCGAATATGCTTTCTGCATGGTGAAGATGCACTAATTAGCACAGTAAGGTAAAGAATATGCCATTACGCACAATTTCTTCTGGTGACAAGATACCAAACTGGACCTCCTTCACTTTGCGAATGGGAGCGGCCGAATACGCGAACTGGTGGCCCAACATGATTGCCGCAACAAGAGTAAGGAGAATGAAAACGCGTAAGAATCAGGAATACGGAAAATGGGGCTTAAAGGAGTCCAGGACGTGAATTAACGCGAATGCGGTGTCGTAAATGCGATTGTAGGGCGAGTAGTGGAGTTGCGACCACTTTTTTGTGGGTTGAAAGGAACCACGAGTGTCTGGTGAAAAGTGACAAAAAAAAAAGATGGAAATCGTTCACGAAAACAGGTCAAGCGGAACTCAGCAAACCGCGCAAGTGGCGGGAACGTTAATGAATTCGCCTGAATCTGCAGGATAGCAGAAAAGAGCCGACAACAGGACCTTCGAAGACGGCAAGATGGCTGTTGAGAACAACCTGTGAATGAGTCTCACGTTCCAACTCCGCTCCAATTCACCTGCGTCCGGCCCCGAGTCACGCAGTCACACCCTTGGTCACTCATCATATAAACTACAATAATGTGCGAGCCAAAATATTCTGTAGAGGCCACAAAAAAATTCATAAAGCTCTATTTATATTCCCTGGTTATACTTCTGGAATCTTTGTGCGGCACACTATTCTTTACGGCGTTACTGAGAAATGATATTGACTGAATATTGGCTGATCGGAGTGCGAAAATCACGGCCGATTTGTCATCGAGTCACTCAAGGCTAGCTGTTGACGCGCACCACACCGCTCAATAATCGTATTCACTTCCACGGTGCTCATCCTGCATGGCATCAATCAGCAGCTGGTTGTGGGGAACTTCACAGCTCGACGACGCTGTCGGTGAGCATGCTCAGCAATATCAGTGTGCTTAACTCAACATTATCTTTCAGACAAGGCTACCTCGGAGCTCATCCCGACTGGCTCGGAGGATGTCGCTCTCAACCTCGAGATATGTGACCAGATACGCTCCAAGTCAGCACCCGCAAAGGACGCCATGCGTGCGCTCAAGCGCCGCCTTAATCATAAGAATCCCAATGTCCAACTCCTTGCACTCGGCGTAAGCCATATCATTCGAGTCTCCACAACATGCTTTGATGCTGGTTTGACAGTTGACAGACATTTGTGTCAAGAATGGCGGTGATCATTTCTTGAGTGAAGTGGCCTCAAGGGAGTTCATGGATAATCTAGTCTCCATCCTGAAAATTCCTGGTCTAAATCATTCTGTCAGAGATGACATCTTGAAGTATATACAGAACTGGTCCTTGGCTTTTGAAGGCAAGCCTAGTCTTAGTTACGTTGTTCAGGTCTATAAGACCCTCAAGAATGAAGGTATTCACTCAGTCTTTCTGTCATCACCATGTTTCACACTTGCTGTGCAGGACATCATTTCCCACCCAAGGACTTTGCCCTGGCGAACTCTGCCATGGTCGATACGTCAACCGCTCCAGAATGGATAGATTCTGAGTTGTGTCTGCGATGCCGCACTCCTTTTACATTTACCAATCGGAAACATCACTGTCGAAATTGTGGACAAGTTTTCGACCAACAATGTTCATCTAAATCCATACCTTTACCTCATTTTGGTATCGCTCAAGCGGTTAGGGTCTGTGATGCGTGTTATAATAAGTTGCAGAAAAAGGCTGAGAAAAGGTATGTATGTGTTTTTCCGTGCATAAGCCATTCTGATATGCCGCCTCCTGATAGTGACAAAGGACACCGACATGCTGCAAGTATGTATAGCCCGCGTCACAGCAGCGCGCGCGACCTCGCAGATGCTGAGCTTCAACGTGCTATTGAGCTCTCCCTCGAGGAGGTCGGTGCTGCTCACGGACGCAGACCGGGTTATGTCCCCGCTCAACCCTCCGCGCACGATTGGCACGTTTCCGAACCTCCTCTCGTGGATAGAATGACACACCCCGATCGTAAAGTTACTGATGCGGATGAAGACGATCCTGATCTCCGTGCAGCCATCGAAGCTAGTCTTCGCGAGGCTAACGCCCCGAAACCGAGTGCCCCTGTGGAGCTTGCAAGTAAAGATTCATACAACAACGTGTATGCTACGTCTCAATCGTATCCGCCCACTGTCACGCCCACCCCACAAGTGCCGAAGCTTACTGGTTATGATCTCGAGCCCTTAGAGACCGACGCTATTCTCACATTCAGCCAGACAGTGGAGCAACTGCAGGCCCAAGGAGGACGCGACATGTCGCGGTATCCTGCTGTCAACGAACTATATGACAAGGCAAACGGGCTCCGGCCCAAGTTGGCAATGAGTCTGGATGACACCGATCGCAAAGAACGTGGGTCAATTTACTTGGAAATGTCCGACTCTGCTGATGCTTGTAGGCAGAACTGCTATCTGAAATGCACGAAAAGCTTTCGCAAGCCGTCAAGCTTTACGACAAGTTACTGACGGATCAGGTCACACATCCCACGTGGCGGCGTTCTCCCCAACAGGTCCATCCTACGACTGTACCAGTGCGGCAATCCACACAAGGTCACGGTCAATGGGCGCCATCCCACCCTCATGCATCCTCCGTATCTTCCCCGGTTTTTGTGCCATCACGGACCGATTCTGCCCAATACGCCCCACAACTTCTTGTTTCCCGACCCACGTTATCTACTGTTCCCGAGTCAGAGCCTCGGTATGCTCATTATATGGCAGGACCATCACAACCATATACTTCAGAAGTTCCCGGGCCATCACAGCGCCTCAAAACTCCACTCGCCTCGCCACCCGCACCTCCTCAACCTCAGCAGCCGCCCCACTTCACTACTCCGCCATTATCTGTATCCTATCTTCCCCAGCACACCCCCGCTTCTCCCACCATTCCGGTCAACCAACCCGTGTCAATACCCCAGTTCGCCAACACTCCCGCACCATCTCAACCACCACCACCACCACCTGCACTTCAATCCATGACTCCACCCCTTACTTCACAAGCGCCAGTCCTCGCCCGGCACCACAGCGTCTCAGCACGCACTACAATGTCCCCGCCGCCTGCCCCTCTCGCTCGCTCAAGTACCGTATCGCGCACGTCCCGCCCTCAGTACCAGCAGCCCTTACAACCACAGCTCCCACAGTTTCCCTCCGCACCAACTGCAGCACCGCAGTCATTTGACTTGTATGCGCCGTCTGCACCTACGAATATTCCAGAGCGACGAGAGGAGCTGTTGATTGATTTGTAGTATTTTTATTGTTGCGGTGTATGAGTGGGTCACAGTAGGATTGCGCACTGAATACTGACAGACTGATAGATTAATGTGAATGCACGTGGTAGATGGATAATCCTTGAACTGTTCATGTTTACACGTAATAATCATGCTGCGGCAATCGTCTATCATGAAACTCTGAATGACTTAAGTAGTGTTAGTCTTCGGCTCCCACCCGGATAGAATTTCTAACGAAAGGACTAACTTATCGAGGCATCAATGGAATATGTACACATCGGAAAATATATCATGACCAGATTTGAGTCCCAACACGATTTCTGGCTCATCTATGGGTTGGGTGTGCCCCAGTACGCTTAGAAGGAACGACAATAGATATAATAGATATGATAGGTTTGCATTCAAGTAAACTACACAGTACTGTGGTACTTAAGTTATACTAAAGTAAAGCCACAATCTAAAACTACGCAACATGCACATGACTAGTAGGTACCTACTGTAGAGAAAATTCTTAATACACATAGGTATTAAAGGCTGAAGACACGCCTCTTGCCACTCAGCACAACGTCAGGCCTGAAAGTCCGCTTGGCCATCTTGACTCTAATGTCCGTGACGCTGAACAGTTCTGGGAGCCAGTTCTGGACCTCAGTGAGATCCTCTCCTAGAAGCATTAACGCAACGGCCTTGGAACTCAGCCACGCATGCACCATGCCCTCACCGGAGTAACCAGCCGCAATCCACTCACCGGGAGCAGCAGTGAGAACTGACTTCAGCTTCCTCGTACCTGAATTCATAGCAGAGGGTGCAGACGAAACAGGCGGTGCCTTCCTGCTAGCCACATTAACGGGCACCTTTCCAACCCACGGCATCCCATCGGCCGATTCGCTCAACAGACCGCTCCAAATTGCCTTCACTCTTCCTTCTGCCCACAAACCTACGCCCACATCCTGTTCATCTGTGGGAGTGCTTGGTAAGGCCTCAGCACCCCAGCTTTCCGCTCCAAAATAGATTGGCATTGCACCGCCTACATGTGCTGCGCTATGCACGCCATACATTGCATTAGCAACACTATCCATCCTCGACTCGAAGCCTGCGCCGAACATGAGTTCGTGCTCGCCATCTGGGAGTTGTGTCAAGTAGTCGAAGCCCTTACGTGGACTATCAAAGAACACAAAGCTCCGCCCACCATGCAGCGTGCTTGCATGGAGGTTACGGCCGGGTCGCTGTGCGGTCATTGTTTCTCGAATGGGAAGGATAGCTCCCTTAAAAGCGGGTAGGAGCGCAGGTGCGTACGCATTCGTGAGATGCACAACGTGTGGAGTCGTAATCACCCCGCGTGCTGTATTGAGTCTATAGAATGGGCAACTTGATGTGGGCTCATCGATCGATGTACAGGGTGCACGAGTGTGAATCTCAAATCTAAGTCGCATTAGTAGATATCCTCGTGAGCGCTTGCGGGCCACAATCAAAGTTAAACGTTAAAGGCTTACTCTTTGGGGTAGTCTGTGAGAAGGCGGCTTAATATCGAGGTCACAAAGCGATATGGATGTACAGCACCAGCTCGGGTGGCAATACATCCCACCGCAAGTGGTGACAGATGAAATTTCTACCACGCTATTAGTCAGATGTCACGATGTTATCCCACAACGTACCTCTTGAGCGTCTAAGCCCTCATAGCAGGTGTATGAACCAGCATATTCGCCCATATCACGCTGATATACTTGCAGCTTCCGCTGTGCCTCTTCAAACGTGGGTTTATCGAAGTACACATCGACACCCTCGACGGCACGACACTGTGCATACTCTGTGACACCCTCCTCTGCAGCAATGGCCAGAATCTCATCTAAGTGCGCCTTCCGGAAGCGTATCATCTTCTTTGCCATATTCTCGCCCACTCTTTTCTTCAGGTCTTCATAGTCATGGTATGTAGCGGGAAAGATATGTCCCCCATTTCTAAATAAGACATTAATATCACACCAGTGATTTAAGCGAAATGGGCGCTCATTGCTCACCTGCCAGTGGCCCCTGAGCATACATCTTGGGCTTCAAGCATAACAACACGAAGACAGTTTCCGTACTCAAGCAGAGTTCGGGCAAAAGAGGCGCCAGATATACCGGATCCGATAATAACTATTATCAATTATTCACCTGGTGACCTCTAAACAGGCGCATAGCATACTCACCCACGTCTGCATGGGATGGCAAATTCTTGTGAGACCAAGGTTTTCCTATTGGGGCTGCAGGAATCGTCCAGAAAGAAGTTGTTGGCTCCGCTATAGGTAGACCATCTAGAATGCGAGGAGTCGTATTCTTCTCAGCAGACGAACTGCTAGAGACTAGGAAAGACTGTTTAGGACGGGAGACACAGTTGCCCATGAATACTATCGTGTCACTGGGTAATGGAGAGAGTTCAAAGCGAGAAACTATGAGAGAGCGAATAAAGGCGCATATGCTCACGATAATGCGGGGCTAACCAAATGAGAAAGTGCCACAGCCCGTATGCTGCCAGTGAGTCGACTGGTTCGGACACGTTACGAAACGTGAGGAAATCAAGGGCCTTATCTTATCACCCATGCGCATAAGCACCTCAACCAGAGGCAGTTGTACCACATCGTGTGCAGCACACCTACCACCGCAGATTTGCAAGCACATCTTTGAAATATCCAGGGGGAAGCGCGAGCCCTGTTTTAAGGTATGAAAATGGCAGAAGTGAGGGAGTTGGTGCTCCATCTAATTAGTAGCTGGCAACAGAGGTACCAGGAATTCCCAGGGCTTGTCACATTTGGTGTATGACCAAGAAAGGGTATCGTAGTAGCCCTTCAGTCAAGGCGTAAGGCCTCTGCTGACAGGTTTAAAGCGGCACTTATGGTGATCACATTGCATACAAATTTTTTGTCAACTTCAAATCTAATGCTGGTAAGAACATGACTGTGGTCTAACATTCCGCGAGTATCTGCAAGAAAATAGACCTTTGAATGGTTTCTGGGGACGTCCTTGCTGAGTGCTCTCGTTTCATATCTTCGAGCTCCAACAAGCAGATAAGGGCCTGGCAACGTTATCTTTGTATTGCCGAGTCAGTATCTTGCATTGTTCCAGCGGTTGTCAAAGAGTGTCTTTCAGGATCTTCATGAAGTCCCTCTGCAGGCGTGCCAGATATGCAACCAGTTCCTCCTCAGGAAGCGAAGAGTGATCTAAAGCCTGGTTCAACTGCGTATGTAGCTGAGGAGATATGGAACATTCAGAACTAGGATTGTTCAAGAAGTTGATGATACCTTCAAAAGTGCACGCCTGCGAATGGTCAAGACGTTTATGCGACTTTCCTCCTCGCAACGCAGGTTTCTTTCAGTAATGGTCTCAGACACTTGTCTCGCTTCAGTGAGCACGTCATCGGGGAGATCAGCTAATTTGGCTAGTTCCAGTCCTGATCGAGGCTGGTCCAGATGTCTTTTCTGTCTGTCTGTTGTCCGCGACTTACCATAGTGACCTGTGTTTTCTGGAACTCCGTCAAGAATCCTGTGATTGTGTAATCAGTGGGCATCGTGCATTATCATGATATGAAATTGACTTGTATTGAAATATCAGGCCGAAGTTAGAGGCCGATGGACGTGAACGCTGGATGACAATCTGTGAAGAAGCTATAATCCAGAGGAATTTGAAAGCACCTGAACAGACAGATGCAAACTGTACAAGTTCGTCATGCATCAGTGGTCAAAGAAGTGACGACCACTCACTTCACCACAGCAGGCTGTCGAGAAAGAGTGGTCGATAGCTCATGAAAATGGCTAGCCATCGTATTAACGTGCAACTCAACCTAGAAGTCGCGTGCTTACGTAGCGAAGAGAACAAAACACTGAGGTTTTCGTAAGGAGAATTTAAACAAGACGCGAGAAACTGTGCTTACTTTTAATCTAACGAGTTCCTCTGCAATAGCATGTGCTATACCAACACCCTCAATAGGAGATGTCCCTCGACCCAATTCGTCAATGAGTACCAATGTTCTTGGGGTCGCAATGCCTAAAAAGAGTTCAGTATGATGTGACAGACTCATCTACACATCAAGACCTAGGATCATAGCAGAAGATGTCATTTCATTCGCAAACGTGCTGAGGCTCTTCTCTATATCATCGTCATTGGAGAGCCGAGTAAGCAGGGCATCATGCAGGCTTGAGAGAATGAGTGCATCAAGATTTGATGAATTCAACACCTATGGCTCACCGAAAGCTCGCGTACTCAGCAGGCACAAAACAACCGACCATTGCCATCACAGTGAGAAGACCTGTTTGACGCAGATATGTACTTTTCCCTGGTGGAAACGCTGAGAATGATCAGTGGGACGATTGTAGGTACATCATACCTGACATGCTGTTGAAGAGTATGAAAGTCTGTACATCCGGACAATGAATCATTTGTGAGACGCACTTTGGCCCCTGAACAATGTGAAAGTGGGCAGCATCGCTGCAATACATATCGTTTGAAATGACCATTCCTACGGGCTGGATGATCTCAAGGACAGGATGACGACCACCCTTGACCGCTAAGGTATCAGTAAACTCGGGACGCACTACGCAGAAAGTCTGTTAACATTATGTGAAAGAAGCTTTGCACCCTGTACCATAGCCTCGCACTAATAAAGGTTTTCTTAGACTGACGTAAGCGCAATGAATGAAATAACGGACTGATGGAGACATGAGCAAAAGACCACAACAAGTCGATAGTTGCAACCTGGACTGACGTTGAGAAACTTGAGCTTAGAATGGGATGTCATTACCGCTTCCGAAGCAGAATAGAGGACTCCCGAAAACGCCATAATCTGCCCTACAACGTCCCGGATGATCCTTTGCGTGTTATCAATCTCAAACGAGGATGAAGTCACCATGAAAAGTACTTGTCACTTAAAACCAGCGTCTCCTCTAATGAGTCTTTCATTCGAGCATTCATTTTTTTCTATCGTCCGATATTAATCCATGTATTGCCCTTTTGTTGAATCTCACCAGATCAATGCTTGAGAAAAGCCAACGACCCCGTTGCGCAGACACGTTAATGAATCCCTTCGGCAGCTCATCCTCAAGTTCATCCTTCTTGAGAGCAAACACAAAGCCACTTTCTTGGTAAATGAGAGTAAGGGGAAGTGAATGCTGTTCGCTAAGGGCGTGGTTGAGCTGATATATGTCTGCGACATTTTCTTTGAAAGTTTCGCGAGCAACATCCAATAGACAGTTGCGGTTCGCCTGTGACAACGGATCAACTAGTGGAAAGCGGGTAATTGTCGACGTACCTTAACTGCATATACTCTTGCGTTAATCGCGCCGATCCCTCCCTAGCAAGAGGCTGTTCAGGCAGCTTCGACAATAGCATACTCCAATTACCTTGACTGGCCCTGCGTCATCATTGAGGTTTTCCGCGATGAGATCCTCAATCTTGATCAGCCGTTCGTCAGACAGTATCTGTTATTCATATCGTGGTATGAGGAGCTGCAGACTCGAAATAGCAATGCAGGGCTCACGTCATGTATTATCAGCAGTAGCCGAGACTTGCATCCGTCCAAAGCCCTCTGCAAAAATGGAAGACTTCGGATAGCAGTGCGCAAGTTGAGTATTTGTGACACGCGGGAAAAAGCTCCTTTTGATGTTGTTGTTGGCCGTACTTCAGAAAACCCAAGCTATGGTCTGGGGAGTTATGTTCAAGTCCACACCACGATGTAGGGCTCACCGATGAGATGAGCTTGTCGAAGTCCATCTTGTTCAAGACTTTTAAGGCATCTTTGATCTCAGTAAATTTATCCTCGCTGTGAATCAGCTCTATTGTAATGTAGAGGTCAGTACTTAGAGTAGATATTTGCAAATATCAGACCTTCTACGGCGTCTAGGCGGGCATCCAAGGCGCTTTGGGCTACAGGCAAGGTATGTAGAATCAACTCATTAGGGTTCTATAGCACAAACACTGGCCTGTTAGGGGTGCCAGTATATTCGTTCGCAAGAGTCGTGTGGCCATTGCAGTGTAAGTATGGTTAAGCACCCTAAACCATGTCAAACTACGACAAATCGAGGAAATGGTGCCAGATACCCAAAGAGAGAATGTGTGGATTTCTTGCGGGTCTGGTTGTTGATGAGCTCCAAATTTCTAACAGTTTCGGGGTCTATCATCATTGTCCCTTCGACAGGGATATAGCGTATACGAAGAGAACACGCAGAAAAGCGGGTATTGAGGCGAGATTCCACAAATTTGAAAAGAGCGCATGCAGCTGAGAGTGTATAGTACCTGCACGCTGGCAATTAGCAGAGTGAACGTGAATATATGCGCACATCTCGACTTGTCTGTCACAGATACCAGTGTGGCCGCACGTTCATCGTCTTCAACACAGAATTGAGCAATAAACTGATAGCCTAGAAGGGTGGCTAAGCGCATATATACGGGAGAAAATGTATTGTCGGCTGACCGGCGCTATCGTTCCAGTATTTTCTCGATACCGGTTCGATGGGGACTTGAGGAAACTCCTCCCTAATGAACTGCACCGACAAAGATGACGATGAAACTCGCGTGGAAGAAGTAGAAGAAGTGAGGCTTTTGTTTGCAGAGGATATAAAAGTATCGGGAACTAATATCATGCATGGCGTGTGCACATGCATTTGGTGTAGAGTTTTGACATAGGTAGAACAGTCCGACAGCTAATTGGCATGGGTTAGTTGCCGTAAATTGGTAGGAGATGAGCCTTTACTTGAATGAGCATGACTCTACCCGTATCTTTGTCGAGAGCGGCCATACCCACTTCGTGCGCAATGCCTCTACTTTCGATGAGGGCGATAACAAAGCTAGCATCGTGCATAGTGGAAGCAGCGGTCTGGGGACGCGCCGTCCCAGGGCGTGACTGGGCAGTCCATGGTCGCCGGGATGCGCTTGTCTGGCGTGTATAAGGACGCGACCGCCCAGATTCAGGGCGCATTGATGAGAGTTCGTTGACTGACCGAAGTAGAGTACTCATGGTTGCAGATACTTGTGTGGTAAGTACCCAGTGCTAGTAGTAGTAATTAAGTAAGGTTTGTGCTGACGAAGAAGTCGGCGCTTCCCGACTCTTCTGAGAGTGAAGGGACTCCTACAAGTTTCTCTTTCTTAATCCATGTTCTTTGGCTCTATTTTAATGAACATTCCGGGGCGCGCGATGACTTTGCTCCGGATGTCTCGTATATGCCGTGACCCCGTGATTGGCGTTCCTGCGATGTCCGTACGTGTTAATCGGACGGAGCTAGCCTCGAGCCTCAGCCAAGATCCATTCCTGGATCAACCCCAAACACGCCTCTCAATCATCTACAATCATGAAATTGATCACTCGTAGTGGTGCATTGCGTTCCTTTGTCCGCGCTCGAGCTTTCTCCAGTGCTCCACCTCCACCTCTCAGACGACCGGGACGCGTGCTAGTGCTTTCCAGCGCATTGGCTACCTCCATGTTGGGCTACGCATTCTACAATGATGCTTCAAGTAGCGAACCGGCGCCCTTTGACACACGCACACTGTCGGATCTCGTGCGTGCGTATATCGTGTACGGGACATGTAGTATCACCCCCCTCGTTGATGCGGCACCGACAATATTGGGTATCTTGTTCAGTACCCCTGGAGTGAGTAAGATAGTCGAGAGTTTCGTACGAGCTACTTTCTTCCACCAGGTACATAATTTATTCGTCATTGTCTAATTCGAAGCCTTAACCAGGTCGGCAGTTCGTCGGTGCAGACACGGCCAATGGTGCACTACCACTGCTTGCATCTCTCCGTGCAGAGAACAAAGGTGCTCTCTTTTCTTATGCCGTTGAAGGCGACCAGAAGGAGGCAACGGGTCAGACGAACATGGAAGGGCAGCCCGTACACAAGTGTATCATAGAGGAGATTATAAGGAGTATCGACGCCTCCGCCGATTTCGAGGACAGAAGGGATGCACTTCAGAATGGACATATAGGGAGACGGACTTGGGTTTCTGTGAAACTTGTGAGTTGTCAGTATTTTACATCAGGAGGAGCGCAATACTCATGGTCGCCCAGACTGCTATGCTTCCAAATGCCCAATCCTTAATCAACTTGTCAGCACACCTCACAAATACTCGAGCACCGCTTGAATCCCCGGTACTCTTTCCAGGGACTCCTTCACCATCTGATCTTTCTATCCTGCGTTCCTCTACATCAACGGGAACACTAACAGAATCTGACATTCATGACCTGAAAGGGCTATACGACGACCTTGTGCTGATTTGTACCCGTGCTGAAGAACGCGGAGTAAGAATTTTTATCGATGCAGAGTATAGGTACTTCTCGAGTTTTTTCGGCTGCTTGCTAAATCTTACACACTGAATTATCTCACCATAGCTGGTACCAACCCGCCATCGACGCATTTGGACACGCATTGATGGAACAATTCAACAAGCTCCCCTCCCATGGCTTCTGGCGGACGTGGTGGGACATATCCTCTTGGACATCCTCTCCAACCACAAGAGAATCTGTGCATGACAGAGTGCAGCCTCTCGTGTATGTGACCTATCAAACATATCTACGACGGTCAGTATTCAGATCTACGCAAATGATCAAGCGTGCTCACTCAAATTACAGGATGCCCGCGCACCTCACGCACTCCCTGGCGCTAGCCCGTGCCAGAGGATATGCGCTTGGAGTGAAACTTGTCCGGGGAGCTTATCACCCATATGAACTTGCTGCCCATCAGCTGGCTTGTTCAGTTGGCTCTCCAGTCGGATCCCACTCGTCAAAACACTCGCGCTCGCTCTCCATATCTCCCGACCCTGAACCCCCTGTCCAACCCTCGAAGGATGCGACGGACCAGTGCTATCACGATTGCGTAACCATGTTAGTCGATGCAATCTCCCAAGACATCTACCACTCCGGCCGATTTGGTACACCAGGCATTGGTGTCTTTTTTGCTACACATAACATGACCTCGTGCGAGTTCGTCATCGAGGAACTTGTTAAGAAGGGCCTGGGAATCGTCGAGCGTGTTGGCGTCGATCAGGTACAAGAGGATGTGGTGCGGATCCCACTTGAAGTTGGGGAGAGGATTGCATTTGGGCAGCTGTATGGTACATTTACCTTCTTCGCTTTCTGTCAAGTATTTGCACGAACTTATTGTTTGATATGCAGGGATGTCAGATGCGCTGACGAATTACCTCGTCGGGCGGACGCAGTGTGAAAGTCCGTGTGTGATCAAGTATGTCCCATTTGGCGCCATGATGCAGGCGAGTCTCTTCACTGCTTATTCTATTTTTCTTTTTACTGGATTGACCCCTTTCCGCAACAATACATGAAGTCTGTCTTTTGCCGTGCTATTCTTGTTGGTGATTTCTAAGAATTATTCTGACTGTGCCTTCATGTCTAGGTCATGCCCTACCTTTCACGTCGAGCGATTGAGAACAAGAGCGTTCTCGGAGCAGGGGGTGCCACAAGAGAGAGAAAGGGGGCTGCGGCTCTCATTTGGAAGAAGATGAAAGAATTGCTTATGTCATAGATATTTGGGCCCTCAGGTTTTTATTGGGTGATTTTGATGCAAGAAAGGGCTTAGCTAGACGTAGGAATGTAAGTACTTGTGTAGATTCAACTCACTACCCACGTCACGGATTTGACGACGTAACATATATCCTAATCACAAGAACAGTTTGCGCTTTGCCTACAAGAATATTGGAAAACAGATATAGCCTACACTGCCTGCTAGTGAAATCCTTCAGTGCCCAAGTAACTCCCTAAATTCTAGGCCCCATTGGTCATTCTTTCGCGATTCCTCCACAAACGCATCGAATTTGGGCGCACTGCCCGCACTGTCGATTTTGCCGAGGGCAGCGACAGCACGCATCGTGCTCCTCCGTAGTTCTGCTGCGCGTTCGATGTCCTGCTTCACCGTGTCTTTAGTGACGGCTGTGCCGCGCATCGTCGATTCAAGAGAGGGTGTGAGTTCATCGAGGCGCTGCGCAAGTGCGATGGAGGTTGTCGGAGACGCTGATAGTCGTGCGAGGAGCATGTGCCCAATCACTTTGATCTCATCCGACGGATCACTGATGGCTGCAAGCAAGTGCGAGAGGAAGATCGACAAGTCGAGTTTAGCGAGGCAGGTATCGAGCTGGGAGAGCATGAGTGAGGGAGAACAGGGGTGTAGCAAAAGCTTACAAGGGTGTACAGTGTTTCCCATGCGGTCTTGCGTGCATCCAGTCCGTCATCGACTTTGTGCGTCCATGGCCCCATTTGGACCGTACGAATGAGATCGGAATTGACTTTCATCTCCGTATAGAGGCTCGGTAGCAGAGTTGGAAGGTGTTCGCGTATGAGATGAGGCTTCGTTCTGGCCGCAGAGTTGAGAGCGGACAACGCAAGGCGGCGGACATTCTGAGGAATGCCTGTCAGGATATCCAAATTTATTAGAGCAATGGGCGCACCAAATCCTTGTCATGTATTAAATCCAAGAAGTCCATAATGAGCGACGCCAAAAGCTCATCATATGATAGCGAAGACTCCGCGAGCGTATGACGGATGGCAGATACGACAGTGGCACGTGCTGCGGGGTTCTCGTCATGGATGCGAGAGTGAAGTTGTGGGAGATATCGTGTGGGATGTGTTGTAGTAAGTTTGCCTAGGCAGGCAGCGGCAACATTGCGTGTACTGTCCTCCGCATCCTCCGAGTATTGAAAAAGGGGTGCCCAGAGCTGCTCTGCAACACCTTCGAGCTGCCCATGCGAGCAATGCGTGACGACCTAGATTGACTCTTAAAACACAAATTAACACAAGACTAAATTCCAGACCTCCTTCAATGCATGCAGCGACAGCAACTTCTTATGCGGATCACTCTCTGCAATCCTGAGGATTGCAGGCAAGAATTGATGAAGATTTCCAATAGCAATATTTCCTAGGTACGTCAATCCATGCACCCAGTTGACGTGTATACTTCACTTACCAGCAGCGAATGCAGCAGCAGCACGAATCTCCTCCTCTTCTGCTGCGAAATGTTCGATGGTACTACTAAACGTATCTTGTTGCTTCGACATATCACTGCCACAGGGTTATCAGTGGAAACGGAGATACTGAGAAACATACATGAAACGGCCAAGTTCTCCGACAATAAGCAGACTTAGCACCACAATAGAAGTGGTGGACTTTGACTTTGAAGATTTCTAGAAGTAGCGTGATGTGAGAAATGCGTTGATTTACTGTGTCTGGGCTGACCTTCATATACTTGGAATAGACTGCAATTGTTCCTGCTGCCACTCCTTGAGAGCTTTGGACAACTTGGCCAATGCATTTAGCGACGTTGGCTAAATTGGCGTCTGACTTGTTTGCCTTTTCCACCGATGTCGCCAAACTGGGAACAACATGGGTTGCAATTTGACTATCAGCCTGCACCAACGAAGAGAAGAACATCAGAAGTGAATCGAGAGCAGCTCCTGAGACAAGAGGCGAATGTGCAATCTGATAGATATTACCAAGAAGCTCACGCTCAACTTCTGGAAAAGTAGCGGTCGGAGATAGCTCGAGTAACACTGTGATGATGGTCAATGCATGAGACAGTAAGGAAATGTCTGTGGTCGATATGTAGGGTTTGATCTGGGGGACCAAAGTGGGCGGAAGATCGGTGGGAACGCCAGATGAATATCTGGACAAAATGAGATCACTTCCAGATCTCCAAAAAATGAACTGACCTTTTTAGAAGAGTATCAAGGGCGATAAATATCTCCGGTTTTCCTCCCCTTTCACTTTTCTTTAGAAGACCCATGATCCATTCAACGCAACAGTTCACCCAGTCATCATTCATTTCCACGTCCCTCGCAACTTTCGTAACCACTCTCACAGCTCCTCCTGTATTACCCGTGGTTCGACATATAGCTTGCCATTCCTTGCCACCTTTCGGTTTGATGACATCAGGAGCACAAATCCATAGGTCTGCAATACAGTCCTCAGCGCATGCGCGAACCTCAGCGTCCGTGTCATGAGTGCTGAGACGCTGAAAAGCTTGATCGTACAGATGCTCCGTCCATTCACCATTCTTTACGGGTCTTGTGGCATTGAGTAAAGCAGAGAAGACGCGGAAGGCTTCTGAAGCAACTCGAGGGTGTTTCTCTCCAGCTGACTTCAAAAGAACAGGTGTCAGAGTAGGAAGTGACACAGAAAATGTCCCAGGAGCATGAGTCGTGAAATACAATGCTATGAAGGAGAGGCATGTAAGGTGGAGGGCTGAAGTTGAAGTCGCTGGCGACTGAAGTAGCACAGATCGAGAGATTGCGGCAATGGGCGTAATTTGGTTCGAAAGGCAACCAGGAAGAACACCAAGCAGAGCATGCAGAAGCTGGAAGCCTGCCTGAAGCGTCGGTGGTGGAGTCTTCGGGGACTTGAGTTGCTGGAGCAAGGCCTTGGATAATGAAGAAACCTGTGAGCGCAGAAGGGTATGTGGCGTTTCCTCGACATCCATTCTCTCTTCGCTATCTCTTTTCCTCTTCCGAATGGCGGAATCATTCTCTTGAGATTGTGATAGGCCGCCATACATGCTAGTCTGATTAAGTAAAACACCATAAGTTGCCCATACTTCGAGCCGAACGGTTTTCTCCCTATCGCCAAACCTCGATATTAGCACGGGCGATACCTCTTTGTACAGTGAGGTCAGGAGCTCGGGGCGAGTAGTGATCACAGCAGCTAGAAGTTTGGTAGAAGCACGCCGGATCTTGTATGATGTGTCTTCATCGTCTGAGTACCTATACGCGCATTGTGAGCAAAGATAAAATAAATTATGTAAGTCTCACTCATCAAGATCGGCATCATCGTCGTCGTCATCATCCGCATCTGCCATCTCTTCGTCCTCGCCGTCATCCAGTCCAGCATAATTCTGTGGATAGATGGGATCTAACCATACAAAGTTGTAGATTCATAACTCACTGGGTCATATTTGATGAACTGGCTTCCTATCTGTACTATCGAGCTTAGGAACGGCGCTGCTTCTGTCGGAGACCTTAAGATTAACGTCTCAAGAGCCTGAACCAACATAAGTGATCAGTAACAGTGTTGATGTAGAAGAGATATTTGCGAACCTGAAGACAACCCTCACGAAGTTCATCATCGTCCCTCTGGACAGCTTTGATGACTCCGGGGATGATGTCGTTATACACTAACGTCAGTTGCTGCGGTGCTTGCCGTATGATAGCAGCAACCAAATGCACGGTCGTGCGCTGTTTTTCCAGATTAGCGTTAGGTGCAAGGAACGAGAGGACATGATTCTGCAATAGATCGCTGACGAGCGTAGGAGGAGCGACGGGGACATATTGTGAAAGCGTCAGAATAGCACGTTTGCGTACGGCAGGACGAGAATGTGAAAGAAGCGGAGCTATTGCAGGCAGAGGATGTGGCGTAAGGGCTGGATCAGATACGTGGACAGGAAAACGAGTGATGAGTATAGATAGCGTTGATAATGTCTCGATCAACGTCTCCGGTGGGGTTTCCGTCTACAAGTGACCATGTGAAGAGCAAGGCAAGGACTGACAAAACGATCTTACATTTGAAACTTGCTGTAGAAGCTTTGGTGCGAGCTTTGCGCATGCTCTGGGAGTGATTTTGCCTTCCAATGGCAACTCAGAAGTAATCGTCTTCAATGCTGGATACTTGCTATTAGATTATAAGTTGCGCCAACAATCTTGATATCCTACCCAAACCAGAGATATCACGCAGTTCATCGTCCTTTCCCACTGAAAAGTTGATTAAGCTATCAACCACGAGTTCCATCTGCGTTTCGCGGATAATCTTGATCAATTGACCCAGACTAAATGCACAGTACCATACATAAAAGTCATAAGTTCCAAGAGCGAGGCAGAGTAGATGTGGGACATACCACTTGACAGCCTGATTTTTTACTTCCGAAATTCTGTCTTCTACCAAGGAAAGTACCTGTTTGAGGACCTTTGTCTCGGTAGGCTCGTCTCCGATGAAGCTGGCTGGATCTTGTTTGATCTCACTCATCAGGTCATTTAAACCCATAAATCTATCGAGAACTTCAGAAAATACGAAGATGATTGTCTTTGGAAACCTCACACACCGAAAGTCCTGGTCCGGAGATTGCATCTGTAGTACACGAGATCGCAAAGAGCTCAGTTGATCCTAGTGAGCAAACTTTAAGGTACTAACTTTCTCGATCAGGCTGTTCATAAGATACGTCTTCGTCATGGTGGTCGTCTGTCTTAGTCGTGGATTAAGATGTTAATCGTGATAGAAGCTGGCAGACAGGAGCCACACAATCATGATGCGCTTTTAGAGCTTTTAGAATACTTACAGATTTCAGTCACGCACGTCACACATGCGCCTATAATTTGGGTCAAGTCTACTCCAAGAAACAAGACAACCAGAGCGATCCGGATAACAACTCTTTAAAGGCAAAACAATAGGATACTATGGCGTCGGTGAATGTGTGGTAGTGTTACAATGCAATGTCGGTCATTGTATATGTACATGGAACATAATACGGTGTAAAATAAGGAAACGGTGAGTAGGTGCCAGCACCTTACAAGACACCTGCCTCCTCCAGCATCTTCCTTATAGGCGGAGTATCAGGCTTCAACTCGCCATTGAGAGGTGCTGCATATCTGCGCTTATTACGATTATAAGTGACAGGCCAAAAAAGTCCATCACCCTGTCAGTCACAAAACGGTCAGCAGGGCAGTCCAATAATTATGTCAAGAGATTCACCATCTTCGTCTGGGCAGCCTTGGGTTGTCCAGAAATTTTCCCTTGATACCAATCATAACCTGTGGAGTGGATCCACACGCTCTCGCCATTCTAGTAGTCAGGTCATTCAAGGAGCGAAGGAGTCGAAATTGAAATGCAATTCTACCCGAAATCTATATGGCCATGGCTCCTCGAGGGTCTCCGGTTGGGATTCTTGAAATGATATGTCACCGTAGGCACCATCGTCCCACTCCTCAAGATTCACATAGCGCAGTGGGTTTGGCCTTCGGTCGGTCCCCATGATAATGCGATGGTCCTTCTTGGAGGTTGTGTACATGTTTGAGGTGAATAAGTGGAACTATAAACCAGAAGATGACTTGGAAGTTATCGATCAAGGGCTTGGAGTGTGGTTATTCCTGCAAAACCAGATCGGACTATTCATATATACCCAGCTGGTGTGGACCGTCACGACCGTGTGGTAACTTCGCATTGCCACACCAGAGAAAGGGTCTCCTGTTACTTTCAGCTTTAACGGAATACAATGAAGTTCACGATGGCGTAGCTCACAATTAAACCATTGTTCTAAAAGGACCGACCACTACCCTCGGAGCATCGCCAGTATTAATGACCTGGAGTCGCCTTCTCCATTCTATTGTCACCTCTTTGGTAACTGCCTAAAGGAAGTCCACAGTCAGTGATTGACCTGCATACATACTTTTCAACGTTAGCGTTAATCGAGTGGCAAGCGGCTCTGCTACGTGATTGTAGCGTTCCTAAAAAGCCTTCATTCTTACAAGGCGTCATAGGCCATCAGTAAAACCTCGACTTACTTAATCAGACTTTTTTGAACTTTTCACATCTTTTCTGCCTTTTTTTCAATTGTTTTTCTTAATTCACTGCCTGATTCAAATTCATGTGTTCTAATATGTTTTATAAACATAAGAGACATGTTTAGAAACATAAAAACAGAAAGTTGTCACCAGTAAGTGGCACAGAGTGCTGATTATTTTCATTTTCAAATCCTCTCCTGAAGTGGTAATCTTTCCAAATTGTGAATTCCTATCATTGTAATAGTATGGAACAATAATAATAAACTATTCCTGATACTCAAGTTGGGACCATCCAGCTTCAACTGACGCTATAGAGTTGGTGACACGATCTGAGGTGTTGGGCTGGTCCGAGCGTTAGCTCGGGGTGGGACGCAGGCAGGTTGGAGCCGCTGGGAGGGCGGGAAAACCTGCTTACGAGTTTGATCGTGTGTTGACTCATGAGCGAGAGGCCATGTAAAAATGATATAACTTGATATTGCAATTATCCGCATTGATAATAATATCTAAGAAACGAAGCGAGAGCTTATGGTACGAAAAAAATTAAAAATTAACAAGGGAGTGGTGGGTGGGTGAAAATAATGACAGTAAGTGCGAGTGAGGATGCGTGAGCTATGCCAAACTCGACAATGATGGATGGTCGAAAATGAAACAGAATAAAATTACGCTATCGCTCAGCTGGATGTTTGGTGCCAGAATACTCTGTCAGGCTATGTAACCCGGCACCTGTACATTCCAGCTTCAACTGATGCTATAGAGTTGGTGACACGATCTGAGGTGTTGGGCTGGTCCGAGCATTAGCTTGGGGTGGGACACAGGCAGGTTGGAGCCGCTCACCCAATGAGCCGAAACTATCCGCGGCTCAAAGCTGCTGCTCAGCCCAACCAGGTGTGGAGGCAACTGTTATAGAGATGCTGCGTTGGTGAGGTGCTGCGAGGAAATTTGCTCGAAGGCACAGATATATGTTTCGTATGCTAGTGATTTCCATCGTCCTGCAATTCGAACTATTTTGGGCTCGACTTTTTTTACCAAGTAGAAAGACGCACCACCTATGTGAAAGGAGTGCCCAAAGGTCATTCCCCAACCCCAGGCCATCAGAATTGAATTGATTCGTTCGAGTGCATGAATTTTCGCCATCAGATGGATGTCACCCTTGCTGTCTCGCCACGAGAATAATGGATCATCACTCAGCGTGGGAATGATTTGTGCGAGGTTGTGGAGAGCGGCCAAGGGGCACAAGCTACCTTGCTCGTTGAGAAAAACAGATTGTATTTCCCCAATGCAAGCAGTTTTGGCTGAAGGTAGGTCCAAATGTGCATACAGATTGCCCCACATGTCGACGCCAAAGAAGGCATGTGCCCTTGTGAGGTGCTTGGAGGGCCTAAATGCTGCATAGGAAGTAACTGAAACCTCACCAAAATGCATCATGCCAAAGAAGGCACAAGATGCCATTGCCCAGATGCAGGCATCAAAGGAGTTGGATAACATGAGGGTGGCTTTGAGAGCTGTCAGCATTGCAAGAGTAACTGGAGGATGGAGGGGTTTCCGGCGGCCTCCGTGCATATTCTCGAGGCCCCGCAGAGACCAGTTAATGCGGCTATGATGTGAGTCCGACAGAGGTGGAGGCCAGCCTTGAGCTATGTGCCAGTCCCGCACTGTGGATAAGTATTTTCGAGCTATGCCAACAGAGACGGCCCATAGTGCAAAGGAATGTAGCAGCTCAAATGAAGCTGGGAGATGGTCACGCTTGGGAACAGAGAAGATGTCACAGAATAAATGATATTTTTGTAAACCAGCACCATAGCCTGCAGTGTCGTGAAGCGGTGCTCGATTAGCGAGGTCAGTGATATGCCGAATTATAGGATGACTGATAGTGGACAAGGGGGATCATCACACCTCGCCAGAGAAAAAATCTGTTCTGGTGCCTTGCAAGGCAGCCAGAGATGCGAGGAGCTGAGCTCGGCTAAGGCAGAGGTTGTGGGAGATGAGTGCACAATAGGTATGGTTGGCAAGGGGGAGTGTAATGTCATTGTGACCATGGAACGAGCTTGTCGGGCCAATGGGGTGGCAATGGGATAGATACCGGCGTCTGTCGCACCAGGAAAACCAGCTCGGAAAGCTCAATGTCGCCTCGTGAGAGGGCATCTGCAATATTGGTGTGGGTGGGCATGTGTACTGCATGCAGGTGTACACAACACTCTGCTTGCAGACGGTAAATGTGTTTCAACACCAGCATTCATTTCGGCGCTGCGTGAATGAACCCTTGTTGGTTACCATGACTATGCCTGCATTGTCTGAACGCACGAGATAGCATAAATTCATAGGTAAATTTTTGGGGATGATACCTTGAATTCTTGTCAGAAAAACAAGGATACACGGAAGGAAACAAAAAGAATACCCAGATGGATGGCCACTCAAAAACCGAGCTCAACAGCTACAGCTTCTGCCCAACCGATATCGAAAGCTCGATGGGGCCCAACTCGGAAGCCTGGTGATCAATACCACACAGCCCAGCGGCTCTGGATGACAATGCCAATTCCGAAGGATGTGCTTGCGTCGCCCCACCCAATATCGATTGGGGATGGGTTGGTTATTGGAACACGATTTGGGAGATATAACAATAAGGATTGAATCCAAGGGAGGTCTGAGATAACGGCTGCTGGAGGGTGAAGATGTGCGCGAGAAGAATGGAAACCAACTGCAAAACGTGCAATCGAGCGGAGGAAAGGTTGAATTAAAGGAAAAATACATGCAACATGTACCAGCTTGCCATGTAAACTTGCAGCCTCTTTCGCTGTAAATGATGCCCTGACAAGCAGCCAGCCAGTAATCATCTCCTGAATTTTGCGGAGCTTCTCCTCTGGCAGTTTCATTGAATGTGCCCCATACTGTAGGAAAATTGTCTGCGCTGATTGAAGCATTGGCAGACTGGATGTCTGAGAGGTTTTGTGGGTAGGATAGGTCTTGGACGATACAAAATTTGTTTGAGTGTGTTACAAGAACATCTAGACGCTTGGGCCCCTACCATTTTTCTTCTCATCCTCCTTGTCTCAGCCCTTGCATCACACCCTTACCCCGACCTTGCTCTTGTTATCCTCGTCATCCTCGCATTCCCCTTCGCTCTCTACCTGTCACTCCAGCAGAGCCAGTACATTTGGCTGGACCCTTTCGCTGACGAAGCATACCCATGCTCTGTTCCACCCCCTGACTGATCCTGTGGACAGTCCCCTTTGCCCTTACCGTCCGGACGGTAACCTATGATATGATGCACGCTGCATCCCCTTTACCCTATCTCCTTTTGTGATCTATGACTCAGTGTGCAGTCACACATGTGTACTTATATTTAGCTCCGCAGTTGCACGATCATGCCCCTGCGTGTTTCACTTCCTGTTTCTATCTTTGACTCGTTTTCTTACTTGCACGTTCTGGTTCACACATGACTCACCTCGAACGTGCCTTCCTTTTCTAGTATCACCCTTTGACCAAGTCTCTTTCTGGTAGTACAAGTTATCATCCACTAATACACATCCTCTCCTCTATATAAACTCGCTACCATGTATCTTATTCCTTAACTTGAATCTACTTGGTTCTTGACCTCCTACTCCTAACAAGAGTGATTCCTTTCTGCCTAGCCAGCAGTCTATATTCTACTTTCTTATCTGCTCATCGTGGATAAGTCTCTAGTCTTGATCTTTACTCATCGACTTTGTCGACAAGCAAAGCCCCTGTTAACTAGTCGGACTTCCGTCCTTCTAATTAACGACGATCTTATGATTAACCTTCGGGTGTCGTAAGCCTTGGCAGATACACTTATTGTCGAGCCCCCACTTGACATAAGCTACCCAATTTGGACATAGGCATTAAATCTTACTTGCCGAAACTCGCCAAGTAAGACCCCTAACCTTGGGCTAGTCCAAGGACGTCCTCGACCATTGACGACACATGCTCTGTTTGAGCGTCGCCAACAGATACCATCCAAGTCGTAACAGAGTGAGGTTTCGGGACTAAACACAGCAGAGAAGTACAAAATGGGCCAATTAAATGCTCTAAATCTGAGGGGGTGAATCCAATGGAATATCTGCCAGTGGCCTGCTCGGAGAGTATGTATGAGTCAATTATGGAGGGATTGAGTAAAGAGGATGCATGATTCTCGAAATGTATATGTACTGGTTGGCGGTTTCGCAACACCAACATTAAAACCATTATGGATATTGTCCACTATATGACACTAGTCATCGAGGATACCATATTTACGGAGAAGCTCTTCCACCCGTAGGTGATTGAGAGGGGGAATGACAGTGTGAGGATCATCTGCGAGCTTTGCAACTCCCGGCTCCATGAGACGACTCCCCACACAGGCTGCAGGAGTGGGTATTTTTGCACCCAGTTCCAAAGGAGCAATTAGAGTTATTGGCCCAATTGAAGCAGTAGTGTTTCCCACTGGCTGTAGCGACGGTGTGCTTGCTTCTTGCACCAGTTGCAAGGGCTGTGATGGGCCTGCCTGCAATGGTAGTGTCAGCAGCACAGTTGGCAGGCAAGTGACCATGTGCCCCACACTGAAAGCAGTGGTTCGACACAAATGTGTGAGACTTCTTTCGAGGAGATGATACGAAATCACTCAGAGCAGAACACTTAGTGGGAGTATTGGGATGCACAGCAAAGGAAACGGAAGATGCAATTTTATTGTTGGCTATGGTAAGGGCTGCTACATCGAGTCCTGCGAGGTTGTGCTCGTGGTTCGTGTGGGCCAATTCCTGCTGTTGCATGTTGTAGTGCATTGCAACTAACCAGCCGTGTGTTCGGCCAATATTGAGGACAACAAGATGATGTGATGTCAGGGCAGATGCTCTATCTGCACCCCAGTAGTGCAAAGTCCTTTCTTCAGCAGCTTTCACTGCACTGACCCAGTCAATGGTCACAATTGATAGCTCACTTGAGCGATCAAGGCCTTTGGCAGTAAGCCCGTCCTGAGTAAAAATAAAGGACAAGTCTTCTCCATGAAGGTAGGCTCTAGAGCGTGCCGCATGTGTGAGTGCCATATATGGCACATAGCGGTCAAGCTTGAAAACTTCCTCTACCTTCGTAGGAATGGCTGCAGTATGACATATCAGACAACTGAAATGATTGTGGTAGAGTGAAAAGATAAACACTGCAGAAATAACTCTGCCGAACGGTTGTGTTTGACGGACAGTCTGATGCAAACGGCACGACAGGGCACTCTAACAAAGCAGGCGCCAAATGAATGAACACGGCATACACCCGGAGCAAAATGGAAAGGGCGCAGGTATGACGGTAAAATAAGACTCACATAAGCTTAGGGCGCTGACTTTGTGCCCAGGTTGAAGAGCAGGCAAAGTGAGCTTCTTAGGCTCGTCTTTGGCACTAGCTAAATTCGTGCGAATGTGATTGACAGCAGTGGGATCTGCTACCAAAGCTTGATGAGGAATCGTGGCTCTGGCTGGTGATTGGTTGCCGTGAGCACTCCCGCATTCAAGCTCGGCAATCCTCGCCCTCAGCGCAGCGATTTCATCAGCAGGCTGGGCGGGGGGAGGGTTTTGGGCATGTGGAGCATTGGGCCCTGCTGGAAGCGCGACAGTCGTGGCTTGCTGCTGAACCGGATGTTGGCGGGATTGTGGTACTGGCTGCTGCATTGCAGCTTGGAGGGGTTGAGAAGGAGTAGCTCTCGGGGCCCCTTGATTGTTGGCATCCATTGATGACGATCCTGCGGTGGGCGGTTGAGTAGAGGAACTCGGCCCAGAGGGAACAGTGTTCTGGGTGGATGGTGGTGTTGGAGGGGCATTTGATGGCCCATTAAGCTGCAGACCGAGGTGTTCATGCATATTGAGGATGTAAGTAAAAGAAGAATGAAAATAATGACAGTAAGTGCGAGTAAGGATGCGTGAGCTATGCCGAACTCGATGATGATGGATGGTCGAAAATGAAACAGAATAAAATTACGCTATCGCTCAGCTGGACATTTGGTGCCGGAATACTCTGTCAGGCTATGTAACCTGGCACCTGTACATAACAGTGAATTCAGAAAAATAATTGAAAAAAGGCCACTCATTTTTGAAAAGAAGTGAAAAGACGTGAAAACCATTGGCAAGTCCAAAAAAGGTCGGATTAAGTAAGTCGAGGTTTTACTGATATACTTACATTTACTCACTCATTTTCTTATTGTTTCCGTACCTACAGTATATAAGGACTCCTTTATCTACTGTTAGGACAGTTGATCATTTACACCCCCAAATATATTTAAGTTCGGACTGTTCTATCTGTCTGAAATAAGTCTATACTACAAAGTTTGACTCTACTGTGTGTAACCCTTTTCATAGCGCCACATATTTTGAACAGCCTAAAATCTAAATATCCTCTTCTCCCCACTACGGTCACCATCAAGGAGGCTTGTTCACCCTCGTACGTTGAAGACCCTACTTTACAAACTCTCTTCCCTCTTTTAAACCCTGAAAACCCTAAAAATCAGTTATGTCCAATGACACTGATAACATACCTGGTACTTTTCCGCTGAGCTCCCCAGCTGTAGTGAGCGGGTTGAGTGTGGATGCGGGCGCTCTCGACCTGGGTGTCAAGAGTGCATGGACTTGTGGTGCGACCACCACTAGAGTTAGATGATCAGCTAGTATTAGGGCGGAAGCCCCTTCTGGCAATCAGATTCCTCGGACTCATGGTTAGGAGCCCTGGGGGCTCCCTCAAAAACCAGAATCTTGCCCAACGGAGGTGAAAAGGACGAGCCTATCCTCAAGGAGGATGATGGCAAGGGATCTACAATGATAAGCATAAGCCCGATTCTTGGCAGCGTTAATGGATTACAGACATCCCACCTTAGAATACGTACCAACAAATATCAAGATGTAGCTCTCGACAATCAGGATACCTCACAACAATCTGAAAGAAATATTAGCTGGATTGACATGCCTAACAATGGAGATATTGGTGACATGCCTGAATTCCCCGTCCTGAGACAAACCATCCAAACAATGTCAACTCCACATGAATCTATCAGAAAGGATCATAAAGAAAATAATAACTCTCCCGAAGTAGACAATATGTTCAATCTATGGACTGAAATAGATGAGCACGTCGCTCGCCTGAGCAAGTCTGATGCAAGAGACTCCAATGAATCCCTGAAGAAGCTCTGGAATGATGATTACCGGAGAGACTCAATCCAAGAGCAAAACCTTGCCTTGCAAAGATATCGCAACTTGGCCCATGTCGAGTTTACTGAGCAGGAGCACCTGGTAACCAATCTGAAAAATCAAATCCATCAGCTCCAATCACAAGTAATCAAAAGTAAGGCCTGTGAGGAGGAATCCAAAATGCTTATGCAAGAAACCCACCATGCACCTCCAAATGAACTCAAATTTCCTCCAGCAAATCAGAAGGTACCTATTGCTGATAGCGAGAACCGAGAACGACCTAAAGAACCTCAAAAGTGAGACCTGACTGAAGACACTTGCTATCAGAGAGCATCGTCAATCCTCCCAGCTGGTAGTTCTGTTAAACATGCCATGGCTGGCCCGAGTCCCGGAAACAACAACCCAAGCGACCTGGAATCCTCGGATAATGAAGAACATTCATCGACGGAATCTGATGCTGACGCAACCTCAAACAACAAGACTAAGACACGTACCAAAGCTCAACGAAAGGAGAAAACAACGTACCTCGTTCAAGACCATATTGATGAACCTGCTGATGCATTTGGAGTTGATTTCCTGGCAATGGAGCCAGAATCCGATCATGACAGTGATTCAGATAGCACCAAGCAAAACAAATGCCAAGCCAGACAAGAGTACTGCGCGAAATTGAACCTATTGAAGTATCAACAAAGCTTCATTAAGAATGAACCCCCTTTCACGTACAACAGTGACGCTAACGTTCAAGAAATGGGTGCGTGAAGTGAGAGACTGGAAAGACAGAGCCAGACTGTCACCTGAGCAGAGCATCAAGATGTTCAGGAAGTACTTGAACGGGTCCACCTATCATTTCTATGAGTGAGATATCCTGGATTTGAGGAAGAATTACTCACTTACTGAATTCTTCGAACAACTCTTTGATTATTTGTTTCCCCCGGATTTCCGCATGCAACAACGTCAGCGATTCCTAGAATGTAAGCAGGATTTGAAGCTACCTGTCTGGAACTATCTTCAAAGGCTTCACAATCCTGCCGACATGGTTGGCGACGTGGACGAAAAGGAGATGGTACACCAATTCTGGATGAACTGTCAACCATATATTAGAGCATCTCTAGTAGGCAAAAGGTACGAACCGAATACAGTAAGCCTAGACACAATTGAGTGTAAGGCTCTGAGGATCGAGAGGGCCCACCTGCTCCTAGCAGTATTATGGATAACCAAGTCTCATTAGAGACCACTGGTTATCCTTCCTTGTCATGGATTGCTGATGCTTGACAGATTATCCATTACCGCTCCCACAATGGATAATTTGCCAGACAGCTTAATTTGGTATGTTTCTGCTCATTCTGGCTCAATTCCTCATGTCAGGACTTCCCACAATAATACTACACCGCATTTTTGGCCACACAGCATGGGAATTACCCCACAACACCCAAAACATCGCCCATTTTGGTATTCTCCACAATATCAATTATTCCCACACCCTTCCCACCTCACTGCAGCTTTACCACTGCACCACAATAGGTCCCCCCATGTATCTAAGTAGTAGTTCAGTATATATATGTATCACATAATATAATAGACCACTTTTTTTTGCCCATTTGTATGTCTGCTCCTCCTCCAGGGGCAATTCAACATATGGTAGGATATAAAACACTTTCGCACTTTTGCCCCTTTGGCAGGGAAGTATCCTGGAGCATTCAGAACATGTTTAGTAGTATATATGAATATACTACTAAACATGTTCTGAATGCTCCAGGATACTTCCCTGCCAAAGGGGCAAAAGTGCGAAAGTGTTTTATATCCTACCATATGTTGAATTGCCCCTGGAGGAGGAGCAGACATACAAATGGGCAAAAAAAAGTGGTCTATTATATTATGTGATACATATATATACTGAACTACTACTTAGATACATGGGGGGACCTATTGTGGTGCAGTGGTAAAGCTGCAGTGAGGTGGGAAGGGTGTGGGAATAATTGATATTGTGGAGAATACCAAAATGGGCGATGTTTTGGGTGTTGTGGGGTAATTCCCATGCTGTGTGGCCAAAAATGCGGTGTAGTATTATTGTGGGAAGTCCTGACATGAGGAATTGAGCCAGAATGAGCAGAAACATACCAAATTAAGCTGTCTGGCAAATTATCCATTGTGGGAGCGGTAATGGATAATCTGTCAAGCATCAGCAATCCATGACAAGGAAGGATAACCAGTGGTCTCTAATGAGACTTGGTTATCCATAATAATAACACTATAGCCTGGAGGGCCTTCCTCGAAAATGTGAAGGACCCAAATGTCCTCCTAGCTTTGAATCCAACTCTTGTAACTAGCTTCACTTCTCAATCGCACCCTTCCCAGAGATGGAACTCAAGGCCGTTCAGGTCATCAAACTGCCCCAGCACAAACTCGATATCTGCAAATGCAGTGTCAGAGTCGCCCACGCGGAGCAATAAGGATCATAAAACTTACCAAAGATCCTCCAATTGTGGCACCAAGCAGCAACCTCGACGGCAAAGAAACCCTGAGCAAGTCAAGCACCTGTGTGAGCTGAACCAGTGCTTTGAATGTGAGCAGACCGGTGTAATGATGGTCGCAGCGCTGGGCTTGGAACCAGTCAATCTAACACTTACATTCCATACCATTCCCCGACCTCCCTTGACTTTACGAAGGCCAGGCACACTTGTCCAAACCTTCCGCAGGCAGTTCTTGTGTTCCAAGGCCCATCCGAACCTCATGAGTTACCATACTATGTCCTATCCTCGAGCCCATTCAGTGAATTCACCTGTCTCAGACAGGCAGCCGAGCGTGACAATGTACCAATGGGGACGGGCCATCCCACATGGGCCCATGGTAATAATTGTACCGTGATATAGGAGTGAGCCGAGTGAATGTGTGTACCCAAGCCAAATGGATGGGCCAGGGGTATATAGTATAGATGGTAGTGTAGGAATGTGCTAGGATATAGGACATTATGAATAGTGAATCCAGGTATAAAATCTGGTGTATATAATCTGGGAGGCATAAAATTCGGTGGGTGTATTATCCGGTGGGTATATACCTTGGTAGGTATATAATCCGGTCATATAATACAGTGGGTATATAATCTGGAAGGCACATAATCTGGTCGGTAGGTATATACACCAGTTGAAAAAATATCTGGTATGTAAATCATCCTGTGGGTATATCATCCGGAAGGTAGGTGTATTATCCAGTAAGATCTCATACAATCCACCATGGTATTGGACTGGCCTTACAACTGTTCACATGTAGGTTATGCAAGTCAACTTTATAATTGTGTGACATAGTCCTTTAAACATTGAAAGAACAACACATGTCCACCGGTATAAACCATAAGTAAAAATGAAAAAGAATCATGTATACTACCATTACTTGGGCCAATTACTGGAGGTGTTCTTAGCATGCCTGGCACTCACCGACCGACCCTGTTGGCATGATTGAGGTGCAAATGACTGGTTTGGCAAAGGAGCTGAGATGGACTGACCATCAGCCGGCACATTTGATGGCCCAGTGACCAGCATGTGAAGGGTGGTAGTAGAAGGCATAGATGCCATTGGGACAGTGGGAGGTGGTACCGGAAATGCACCAACCAGATGAATGGGTGGACCAGATTCCCCCATGGTGGGCACAGAATTCATGGTGGAGGTAGAGGTAGATGCAAATGCCAGTGCCGGCTCATTTTTTGTGACCGGTGAGCCATCGCCAACAAGGCGTGCATTGGTCAAAGATACATCTGGAGTAAACATATTATTGGTGATGGCATGACCTAAGGCACTGATGGAGCCGAACTTGGGGAATAAGGGGGTACTGGGAATGACAATGGGTGGTGGATTAAATGAAGGTGGAGTTGCAGCCATCACTGCAGTGGTCCTTGGGTTGTCCCTGAGGTACCAGGCAATGCTACCCATCTGAAAAGCCAAGTGATCCACCAGTCCCTTCTGGGTGTTACAAGAACATCTAGACACTTGGGCCCCTATCATTTTTCTCCTTATCCTCCTCGTCTCCGCCCTAGCCTCGCATCCTTACCCCGACCTTGCTCTTGTCATCCTTGTCATCCTCGCATTTCCCTTCGCTCTCTACCTGTCGCTCCAGCAGAGCCAGTACATCTGGCCAGACCCGTTCTCTGACGGAGCATACCCATACTCCGTTCCTCCCCCTGACTGATCCTGTGGACAGTCCCCTTTGCCCTACCGTCCAGACGGTAACCTATGACATGATGCACGTCGCATCCCCTTCACCCTATTTCCTTTCTTGATCTATGACTCTGTGCGCAGTCGCACATTGTACTTATACTTAGATCCGCAGTCGCACAATCGTACCCCTGCTTGTTTCACTTCCTGTTTCTGTTCTTTGACTCACTTCTTATCTGCACGTTCCGGTTCGCCCATGACTCACCTTGAACGTGCCTTCCTTTTCTAGTATCACCCTTTGACCACTTCTCTCCTTGGTAGTATGAGTTATCATCCACTAATACACATCCTCTCCTCTATATAAACTCACTACCATGTATCTTATTCCTTAACTTGAATCTACTTGGTTCTTGACCTCCTACTCCTAACAAGAGTGATTCCTTCAGCCTAGCCAGCTGTCTATATTCTACTTTCTTATCTGCTCATCGCAGATAAGTCTCTAGTCTCGATCTTTACTCATCGACTTCGTTGACGAGCAAAGCTTCTGTTAACTAGTTGGACTTCCGTCCTTCTAATTAACGCAGATCTTACAATTAACCTCCAGGTGTCGTAAGCCTTGGCAGATACGCTTGTCGTCGAGCCCCCACTTGACATAAGCTACCCAATTTGGACATAGGCATTAAATCTTACTTGCTGAAGCCTCACCAAGTAAGACCCCTAACCTTGGGCTAGTCCAAGGACGTCCTCGACCGTTGACGACACACGCTCTGTTTGAGCGTCGCCAACAGATACTATCCAAGTCGTAACACTGGGTGTTCAATTCTTCTGTATGTTACAAGAACACCTAGACGCTTGGGCCCCTACCATTTTTCTCCTAATCTTCCTCGTATCAGCCCTTGCATCATACCCTTACTCCGACCTTACCCTTGTCATCCTTGTCATCCTCGCATTCCCCTTCGCTCTCTATCTGTCGCTTCAGGAAAGCCAGTACATCTGGCCAGATCCTTTCGCTGATGAAGCATACCCATGCTCCGTTTCACCACCTGACTGATCCTGTGGACAGTCCCCTTGCCTTTACCGTCCGGACAGTAACCTATGATATGATGCATGACACATCTGTTAGTTGTGTGGTGACTTCACACTAGATAGGCCGAAGACTTCTAAGACTTCGAAGACTTGAAGGACACTTCAAGGACATTACTATATTAGTAGATAACTTCAAGGACTTTGAGGACACTTTGAGGACACTTCAAGGACATTACTATATTAGTAGATAACTTCGAGGACTTTGAGGACACTTTGAGGACAGACCTCTAAGACACTTCGAGGACACATACCATACTAGGAATTGTTTATATTTGTTTACATAGACTCGCCCATAGTGCAGAGTTCGAAGTTATCTACTAATATAGTAATGTCCTTGAAGTGTCCTCAAAGTCCTCGAAGTTATCTACTAATATAGTAATGTCCTTGAAGTGTCCTTCAAGTCTTCGAAGTCTTAGAAGTCTTCGACCTATCTGGTGTGAAGTCACCACACAACTAACACCAACAGATACCATCCAAGTCATAACAATAACTGGCCTCTCTTGTGTTAGCGGCACCGAGCATGCTCAAATATGTTGTTTTATCCTTGGTGTAATTATTGATGTTCAACTTCCCGGTGGTTTCTCTTTGGCATGTCTTTTACGTGCAATCTGTGGTCTCCTAGATTTCCTTTACTTAGCACGATATCCATGCCATAGCTCAGAGTCATTATCTCTCCTCAACGAAGCTCTTGCCCTATTCCACGACAACAAACAAATATTTGTCAACCTTGGTATTCAACATCATTTCAATCTTCCGAAGCTTCACGCCATTCGTCACTACATATCAATGATTCGCTTGTACAGCACAACGGATAACTACAATATGGAGTATACTGAACATCTTCACATCAACTTAGCGAAAGACGCCTACTGTGCAACAAACCACAAGGATGAGTTCATGCAAATGACTCAATGGCTTGAATGCAAAGAGAAGATCGTACACCACCAGAAATTTATCCAGTGGCGACTCCACAACACTCCTTCTCATCATCCTCAACCACCATACCTATCATTTGACCAGACACAAACATTGATGAAGCACCCAAGTGCTAGAGCTGTGTCTTTTCAACGTTTAATCTCAGATTACGGCACCACTTACTTTCGCGAAGTGCTCGCTTGATATGTCGCACAACAAAATCATTTAGATGTGTTAGAAGAACTGAGAGTTCAAAGTCAATGCACTTGATATTATTGTGTAAATAAGTAAAGTACTGTACCTGAGAGTTCAAAGTCAATGCACGAAGCATGTAAGACTTGTGAACTCTGCACTATGGGCGAGTCTATGTAAACAAATATAAACAATTCCTAGTATGGTATGTGTCCTCGAAGTGTCTTAGATGTCTGTCCTCAAAGTGTCCTCGAAGTCCTCGAAGTCCTCGAAGTTATCTACTAATATAGTAATGTCCTTGAAGTGTCCTCAAAGTCCTCGAAGTTATCTACTAATATAGTAATGTCCTTGAAGTGTCCTTCAAGTCTTCGAAGTCTTAGAAGTCTTCGACCTATCTAGTGTGAAGTCACCACACAACTAACAAGATGAAACCCTCTCTCGCAGACGTCTCAAAGACCTTGCTGCAAACATACTCCTGCCGTTTCATTCTGTGGCTGTCTACCACAAGATAAAGTGGCCATCTGTCGATGCTTGAGGGCACGGTGACCCACTCGTTACAGTGGATAGTGTCCACGTCAAGCCACATTGCACTGGCACTCACCAATGAAATGATGCCCTGCCTGCTCGTTTTGATACAGCGCTTATAAGCAACGGCACTGGTCAGTCTGTTGGTGTCGAAGGTAATGCTTGATGGCCTTATGTTGCCTTTACTTACTAATATACAACTCGGACTTCACAGGCTATCGTGTTGGACAAATTCGTGCAATTTTCTCGCTGCGAGAAAGAGATGCACAGTTATTATTCCCTCCAATGAATCAACCTCCCAAACACCTTGCTTACATCGATTGGTTCACTCCATTTACTACGGCACCAGATTCAAGACACTGGATGTACAAAATCACCTGTTTTTTTTCATTCAGGTGAGTGAGTTGCTAGCATAATCCCCATTTTGAACATTGCCCGCAGTGTACACCTTATCCCAAAATTTGGAGCAGTTGCACCTTGTCACTGGATGAGCAACAACGTCCTTGAGGAATGTGATGTATTTTTTGTTAATTGTTACATAGATAGGCATAGTTTTGTTACCCTTAAGTAGTACCCTCTAAACTTGCAATGATTGTTTCTATGTTATGAACATTATCGCATTTATGTATATCTACATCTAACTTGTGATAATTTATCGAGCTTAGACGTATTTTGTCTATTTGTATCTAACTTAGGGCGGGAGGTTTTTCCTGATGCATACTTACATTTACTCACTCATTTTCTTATTGTTTCTGTACCTACAGTATATAAGGACTTCTTTATCTACTGTTAGGACAGTTGATCATTTCCACCCCTGAATATATTTAAGTTCGGACTGTTCTATCTGTCTGAAATAAGTTTATTCTATGAAGTTCGACTCTACTGTGTGTAATGCTTTTCGTGAATGTAAGGTTTATGGAAACTCTAGGTCTAGTCTATGTAGAGTCTATTATGGGTCCTGTCTGGGTCCTGTCTGGGGGTGTGCCAGCCGCCTGGCCAGATTGAAGCGGAGTTCAATTCCAAATCAGGATGAGTCAGCTTGTAACAGGTGCTGGGTGGTAGAAAATGAGGCACCAAGGAGGTAGAAATTCCATAAGGCTGAGGAAGGAGGATGTCATCTTTGATCATACTGGCTGAGTTAATGAAGTGGGTTAAAGACAAATAGAACAGGCCTGCGAGTTTGGCTTCATTGGAGAGTCCTGCAAAGAGAGTGACGACATCCATGGCCCTGCTGGGTGTGTGGTCGTCGCGGTGAATGTCGACGAGCTATATTAGGCCTGGTGCTCAGTGGTCGTGCTGCACCATGGTAGTCCCGATCACAATGCTACCCAAAGCAGCATATCAGCATCTGCCAAATTTCAAATTCCTCACTTGGCCTGCCAAATCACTCTGAGTTCAACCAGTCTGACTACATCAATAAATTTCTCACCATCTCAAATTGACGCACAATCAGACTAGTTACAAGTCTAGATGAGCTAGGGGCTGGCGCAGTCATCGTGCGTGTGTGTGAGTACTCACTGGGCATGAGTTGTGACGCGTGACTTCCAAGCTGCCTCACATCTTCCTGATTTGGGAATTGAACTCCGCTTCAATCTGGCCGGGCGGCTGGCACACCCCCAGACAGGACTCAAACAGGACCCATAATAGACTCTATGTAGACTAGACCTATGGTGCAGTTCACCTATGCGCCGCTACTTTGGGGCAACCACCAAATCGAGGGCCAAAATTTCCAACTCTAATCCCATTGCTAAAAATGGTAGGTGCGGCAGCGACCACAGCTTCGATGCTAGTGTACAAGGTGTCGGATTGCGAGTCGCGACAGACAAGTGTAGTACTATGTACAGGCTAAAGTTAATTATTTCAACCTTTGAACAATGGCTCGCAAGTACCACAAATTGGCAGCTGCTTGCGCGAGACTCGCCCGACAAATTCAAGTGAATCCTGCTACTGTGCGGGAGCCTGACAACGACAACGACAACGGTGACGACGACGACGATAACTTCAATTGCGGGTTTACTGGCGGTGTTCACTGCTCGTTGCCTGACCCCGACAGTGACTCAGAATTTGAGATTGATTGGGACTCAGAATCAGATAGCGGAGAGAGTGTTGTTGAGCTGGCGGGCGAAGAGCTTGAAAGTAGTTTGGCACAGTTGAGAGACAAGGTTACCTCACTGGCAGAACCCACACCTTATCAGAAGGTGGCTGGACCCAAGACAGGCGAGAACTGGAAGAAAGCTGAGAGAAGCCAAGGATTAGGATATGATGGACACTCCAAGCGCACGCAGGAGTGCCGACTGCATGATGCTCGTGCTCGAGAGGATTTTCGTGAATATGCAAAGACAAGGTGAGCAGGACTCTTCAGTAAACAACCCCATCAGATCAGAACACTTACTGGTGTGGCTGTTCAGTACCGATCCACAAATCAGCATGATGCGTGCATTTACACAAAAGGGTGCTGCACAAAAGCCAGTGATAGCACCAGTGCACAATCAGGCAGCTGTGCCCCGCAGCCACGCAATATGTTCCAAGCTTGCTGGGCTTCCTTTCTGATTTCTCGAGTGATGAAGATGACAGGGATAGCAACACCAACATGGATCACAGTGACGATCATGATGGCACCAGTCATGTTTCCTTGGCACTACCTCGGAAACGCCAAAAACTCGAGGTTCCATATCGTGAGCAGCGAAAACAAAAGCAAGCTGACCTGGAGCATGCGTACAAAGATATCACGAAGCATTTGAAGTCGAAAAAGACAGTGTTTGCTGGGGGTCCACGTGGTTTACAGGCACGTTGTGCACGTACTATCGAGGTTCACTTAATGCTTGTGGTCAAGAACAAGCATAGTTTCAAGGTGGCCTCCGAAATGGCTGCAGAGACCAACGGGTTTGCTGCAAAGTGGGGAGGACGCCAGGTTCGTGGGTGGACTCGTGAGTGGATGCGAACAAGAATGCTTCCAGTTTCACAATGGGGACGGCATGCCAAGATTTCGTCACTCCTTGATGACCCTGCGATCGCATCCGAGCTCCGCACATTCATGCGCTCAAACAAATGGTCAATGGACCCTCAGAAGCTGGCGAAATTCACCAATAACGAACTTCTCCATACCGAAGCAACAAAATATCTTGAGGGGCTTGTGCAGACTGAAATGCCCCAGGGGCTGAAGAGATACATCGAGCTTGAGCTCTTTCCTCGTATTCACATGAAGGTTGGGCGTGGGGTATCATTGAGCACAGCCCGTCACTGGCTCCATCTTGAAGGATTTCGGTTCATGGCATACAAGAAAGGGCTGTATTTTGACGGCCACGATCGACCAGATGTTGTTGAATATTGACAAAATGTCTTTCTTCCTGCAATGATAGAACACGAGCATCGTCTTGTTCGATATGTTGTTGGAGATGTCGAGAAGGAGTCTGATATCCCTCCTTCCAATTTTGTCGAAACACGGCTCGTCATTTGTGCACATGACGAGATGACCACTCAAGCAAACAATGGACAGTCAATGAGCTGGGTGCCGGATGGCGAGCACAAGCTGAGAAAGAAAGGAGCGGGTCGAGGATTGCATCAGAGTAGTATCATTTGCTCGACTGTTGGACATCTCGAGGAAGCAGCACACACCATCGAGTATGGCAAAAATTACGACAGATACTGGAATGGGGAAATGTTTGTTGCGCAAGTGGGTGTTGTTGTTCAGATATCATGCATGAAACTGAAAATAGGGGAAGCTCCGCAACAAAATAATTCCAGCATTCGAACGTGCTCATGGACCTGGTTACCAGGCATTGTTTCTCATCGATAATTCTCAGGGACACTCAGCATATGCCGACGATGCGTTGCTGATCTCACGCATGAATATAAATCTGGGGGGCAAGCAGGCACAGATGAAAGATGGTTGGTTCATTGATGCTGGTGGGCAAAAAGTTATTCAGCCCATGATGTTTCCCTCCGATCACCATGATCACCCAAACGAACCGAAGGGCATCAAGGCTGTTCTCCAGGAATGTGGTCTTTTGCAGGGGAGACATTGAGGCAGGTGCCAATCAAAGTGTCCTGACTGAGGCGACAAACTGCTGCCTCAAACGAATTCTCGAACTTCAACCAGATTTCGCCGAGCAGAAACCACTTGTGCAAGATGTCATTGAGGCTGCTGGTCACTTGTGCATCTTCTTGCCAAAATACCACTGTGAGCTCAATTTTATCGAGTTTTTTTTGGGGGGCAGTAAAGAGGTATCTGCGCGAGAACTGCGATTACACCTTCGAAATGCTCAAGACCAACTTGCCGAAGGCTATGGCTTCCGTACGTCTCAGTACAATCCGTTTATGGGAACATCGGATGCACAGGTGGGTGAGTGCTTACCAGGTCGGGTCTGGAGACGAAAACAGCACAGTTGCAGGTCAAGGAGTTCAGTTCAAGGAAGTACAAATCTCATAGACGTGTACCGGAGACTCTTGCATGTCTTTTCGACTGATTTTACCGGTACCGTAGCCCTCACCGCCAATTTGGGTCTTGTCCAAAAATTTTTCTTGCTCAAATTTAACGCTATGCGAAATTGGTCTTGACAATATGTTTCTATCAGTAAGCTAAGCATTTTTGCAAGATAGAAAAATCCTAGGACTTTTTTTCACGACGCTGGAAATTTTGCACTAAAGTAGCGGCTGCATAGGTGAACTGCACCATAGAGTTTCCATTTCCCGGACGTCCTCCGCTTTTCATAGCGCCACAGTGATCCTGCGGCACAGCCACTGTAATTCATGCAAAACTTGAAGAGAATCAACCTCAACTTGAACGCTCATCGATGCATCTTCTATCCTTACTATCTGGTACATGGATGTTTCTTATGCAAAGAGTGATGATGCTACTATTGTTTATTTATCGAAAGAATATCTCCAAATTTTTGCGTTGAATAGACCTTGAATTTTTTTCTGACTGTGTCAGTGTGTGTTATGAAAGGGTCCTGCAAGTCAGTGACTTTGGACGTGACACTGAGACATGGTATGCTACTTCCGGACTTGCAAGTTTTCTGCTGGGTGATTAGTAGTTAGTAGTCAGTGGTCACTGGTTGCCAAGTTGAAGTGAAAAATATTAGAAACGGCAGTGTCGGACAAAGCGTGGCGGTTGCACTACTACCACTGTACATGTCTTGATTGTTCTGCACATGCTGTTCAGTCCGGCATGCCTCCGGTACCATATTTTATTACCTAGTATTAGAACTTACATACATCCCTGTCTACCTATGTAGTGGAGTATCTTTATCGACTCGGAGTCAAATGCTCAAAGTGACAAGCAGCCTTGAAATGCATAAGTTCTTACTGTCTGCCCATTGAACGTTGAACGTTCGAGGGTTTGCACTTATTGAATCTACCCACTGTCATGTACAAAAGGTCAAAGGATTACATGCATATTAATTACAACAATGATAATGCACAGGCGAGTGTTAATACATCCTTGTTATGACAAAGTCCTACAGTTGGACAAGGAAACTGATCAAAGGAAAAAACTGAGCTTCGGGAGAGAACATCGATGTCAATACAATGCGGCGTGATTGCGAGGCTGAAAGGATAATCATATAAAAGGCCGAAGACCCGAGGACGGTACCAATCGAAGGGTGGAAGCCTCATGGTGCACTATTCCTACCGTTTGAGCAAAGAAAGGGGTCTCTGGCGTCACTGGGCCTTCTGAGTCGTTGGTTGTGGCAGAGAGTGTGTCTGTAACTGCAGAAGGTGGCAGGGACTCCATGCCAAGCGTCCAGGTTGGCCCATAGAGCCCACGCATTACTACCATCGCATCATGGGCATTACTTGAATCTATCGGTGTGGATGTTTCGCGCTTAGATAGAGTCTTTCTAGAGATTTTGCGACGTATGACTGGCACCAGCTTTTGACATGCACGGATAGCGGATCGATAAACTGTTTTCGAGCGAGAAGAAAGGGGTTCCATAGGGCTGAAACCAATGCCGTAGCCGATCTGTTTGACGCCAAGTGGAAGTTCCTTGAGTAACGGATCAAGGTGAGGAGACCTAAGTGTAGGGGTGCTTGCAGGCCGCATCCTCTTGCGAAGCTTATTTCGGACATGCAATTTGGTGGAAGGGACAGTGCTTGCGATAGATAGAGTGGAACGGGCACGATCTTGAAAGGTTACCGACCGACTTTTTCGCAGAGTGCCAAAGATCTCTCGTGGCTCCTCGCGACTGGTTGTGCTTGAGTTGGAATAGTGCGAGGAAACAGAGTTGATCTCCAAATCAAGAGCATCCCACAACGATAATGGATCTGCTGGAGTGTGTCCGAGGTCCATGACTGCAGAGCGTTGCCCGAAACATCGTACATAATCTTGCGTGCTGGATTCCACCTGACCTACGTCCAGGAATTCCTCTTCGTCAGAAGCTTCGGGAACAATTTCTAGGCGAGTGCTTTGTGAAGAGATGCGTCTTTGGATCTTGAGAATAGCATCTTTATGTGTGTTGAGAGATCCAGTTTTGGGTTTTACTATTCGTTGCGGCATGGGGGTGAATGAATCCACGATTCTCTCTCCAACTAAGGTCAGAGGTTCGTCTTCTGTGTGGACCGCCACTTTCTTTGATTCTGAAGCAGTCATGTTGTGTTCACAGTGTGGTAAGTGGATGTCAGGATCCTTATCGTCGTATCTGAGGGGTGCTACAGTGGATGTCAGTTTAGTAGGCAAGCACCTGCAAATTCGTATCCAAACCCTTGCCGACCCTATTGGTCACGTTTTTCCAATCCCTACGTCAAGTTTCAACAATGCGGTAGCGCCAAGAGTCGTCAAACTCACACAGTGCAGAAGTATGCATGCGCCCTAATCTGTTTGATGTCCAAGCGGAGAGCTGCATTGCGCTCCAAACACTAATCACAATTACGCACATCAGCCAGTGCATGCGTGTTGGCATATTGAGAAAACCTACTTTGACTAGAAGATCTTGTGCTGTCCATGATACTGACACTGTCCGGGGAACCATTAACAAGCAGTGAAGGATCTTAACTTGCAGAATGGCAGCGTTGTCGTTGTCGTCTTCAGCAACGTATGGGTGCTAAATCGCGTAAATAAATGGAGAAATTGATGCTATAAACTCACAGATCCGAAAAGCATCATGTACATCAGTAGGCCAAAGTTCCAACAGTCGACACTAAAATTATGCGCCCACCCTAGGATGAGTTCAGGAGCACAATACAGACCAGTATCAGGCAACGGGAAAGACGTTGCTGAATCAGGTCTGCATGCTTGACCAAATCCCGTAATAATCACATGTCCTGACACGTCGAACATGATATTACACGGTGCTAAATCACGGTGAATTATGCCAGCAGCATGAAGCGTGGTCAATGCTTCTACCTATTGTAGGTGAGCATATTCAATCGCGTTGTTTGGCTTGGCTTACTATTTCGCAAGCTATGTGCAGGGTGTGGCTTTCACTAAGGCTCGTGTCGCGGTCGAGCAAATCCTGGAGACTACCATTAGGATAAAACTCCTGACTCGAAATGTTAAAACCTGGAGCGCAAGTGTAAAAGCAAAGCGTACCGCGATAGAATGAATTTCAAGGCCATCCTCATAGATCCAGATGAATGGTGAGAGAAAAGAAGACCGCAGTTCGTGAATTTCCTTGCAAATTTCCATTTGAAGTTGGATGTGATCATGAGGACTGCGAATTTGAAGGCGCTCCTTGTTCAGAATTCGCATAGCATAGAGTTTGAAGTCGTCGCGTTTTCGGCATAGATGTGTCGATGAAATGGAATCCTTGAACAGTGTGTAGAGTAATCGGAACTGCACAACGTTGTCTGACCTTAGAATCGGATCGAAATTCACAAAACCCACCTCGCCGGCCTTCACACACGCTTGCCCGGAGGAGTGGATGAGTCTTGGTTTCGGCGAAATGACCATCACCTCCTACAAAGATCATCAGTACTCGGACGCTCGTCGGCATGAGGAGACGCTGCACCTCAATTTCTCCATCCCTAAAACGGGGAGCGAGTTCAGCAATGTCCTTAATCTAGAGTTTAGGTGTCAAAGCGATTCTGATACGCAAAGGTGAGGCGATGAACCTCGACGTCATAACTCAGGTCTGAGACCATGCCTGCCTGTTTCTGAGTTTTCGGAGGGTCCGGAAACAACAGTGATGTTTCAATACCGTCGTCGAGAAGACCTGTGAATGACTCCTACATCAAAAGGTAGTTAGCGTGTAAGTCAGTCTATGGAAAACAATCATTTCAGTACTGAAAAGGGTGAGATGTCGAAAGATTCGACAGCGAGCCTTGGGGCCAACTGAGAGTATTGAGAAACGATGGACTTTGATATGCTGCGAGCGGGAGAAGAATTTGGAACTGGCTGTGTTTCGATAGCAGGCATGGTAATGTGCAAGTACCGAACTTCAATGATTGAAATGCAAACGCGTCAAGTGTGACTCGGAATTGGAATTGAAATCGCCAGTTTCACATGAATGCATGTCAATGTGCAGACGCCTCGTAGCCAAGGTAAACAAAATGAAAGGAAGATTTTTATAGTCGTTTCTTCAAGTTTATTATGGACGTCTCTACTCAAGAAACTCATCTTTCATTACACTGCTAGCAGCCTTTGCTCCTTCAGCCTGAAGCTTTGACATCCCAAAATTTCATGATCTATTGTATGTAACAGATATACCTAGACGAGGCTCAAAGATATGTAAGCTCTAACAGGTGAACGCAGGGAAAACGATATCAGGTTGTCGAGAGATAATGAGAGAACACAGAAAGATCAATCAGACAGTGTCCTTCACAAGCCTTGAACCTTTTTATGAAGTTGCGAGCCCCTGCTTAAAATCGGGTATCTTGTAGGACAATCCTTATGATGCTGCATACTATTAAATGGGGGTATAAGCAGGTGGAGGTCCATCATTTGCAACTTCCGTCTGCACAGTCAACGGACGCATCTCCATATTCTCTGGAGGTGATGAATGCCTAATGGGCATGCTATGTGGAGGAGTATATGCTGCCGGGGTGACACTAATGGACGGTGTTTGAACAGTATGTGGATCAACTCGCGAATGTGTCGAAGGGGGGGAGGGAGAGAGGGGAACCCCAGGGGGTGGTAAACGGGTTGAGGTTGGGGAAGAGGGAGGCGAAATGTGTGGGGCTCGATTTGAATATGAGTAGTGGGTTGGAGAAGGTATGGTTGGTGATCGCGTGCGTGCCATCGGAGATGGCTTAAATGGAAATGAGGGTGCTACATTCATTCCCTGTCGGTTCAACGAATTCATTTGACCGGGAACATGAGAACGTTGTGATTGAGTGGGGTATGGATGATACACATTTGATTGTGGCCTGCCATAATTGTTACTGGGTGTTTCATACACTAAGGTCGTCTGTGCAGCACGTCGTTGGAGTCTTCGGCGGCGATAAACCCTGCCGAAGATGACAATGGTCAAGAGAATAACTGCTGCAGTTTGAGCTAATGCCAACTATTCTGAAAATCACACCTACTTCCGCCAATAGCAAGACCGATGATGGTCGACGTGGGGAATGGAGTGCAGTCAGTCGAATCCATCCTAAAATTTATCTGAGACAAGGAATTAAAAAAAATATTTGGAAGAGTAGCTCACGAGTACGTGCAGGATGCATAGACTTGAGAAGCACAGAGGAGAGCGACAAAGAATGACAAAATACTAGCTTCGTAACGTTGAGGCATTAATTCTACTCAGCAGTGTCAGGTCGACGCGTAGGAGTTAGTAGATGTGGTCCAAATACGACACTGTTGGTCAACCGAATGACAACGATTTCTTTGGTAGAGCGTCGTGGAGGCGAGAGAGATGAAGTTTGTGTAGAGAGGATCGACTTGGCATCCAAGTTGACAACGGACAAGTCAGATACACTCGTGACCCCATGTGTATACCGGCCGTACAGCCCGTGGGCAGTCTGGAACAGTGCCTGATCTTCCAATCAGAATTTTCGAGCGTGCCGTGCGATAACTTTGAAAACAGTAGAAATAGTAAGCCAAGGGCCTCCTGGGCGATTCAGAGCAACTAACTAATGGGCATATAGACAAGTCACTAGCTTCTAATGGCTAGATGTACGTATAGCTCGCAAACTTGCAAGTCGGTAAAATGAATCACTACATAATAGACTGACTCGCGGAGATGCTATCAACGTCTATCGTACCACTTCACTTCACACCCTCGCCCGTTTTAATGACAGAATCAACTAGCACATCTACACAGTCAACCTATATCGTTAACAAGAATGGTGCAGATCGTGCGTTCTATATGTTTCTGTCTTTAACTGCTAAGGCGAACAACGTGCTTCAGAACTCGTAAACATCCTTCAACGTCGCCCGGACGGACAGGTGTATGTCCACTATGATGGGTTTGACAAACGCCTAGACGAATGGATTCCAGGGGCTAGCCTCAAACCTGTCAACGAATCCGCGCGTAAAAGGAGGAGGGACACCCCTTCACCTACGCCCTCAGAGCTAGAAACGCGACCCGATTCTCTCATGACCGAGGAAGAGTTTGACATCAAACACCACAAACAGATCACTGCGCAAAGAAATTTTGACAAGGTCAATTTTGGGCAGTGGCGGATCAAGACCTGGTGCGTAGCACATGTCATAATAGACTTCTTCTCACTCACATCATTTTGTAGGTATTTCTCACCTTATCCACTCACAGACTCAGAGCTCGAGGATAGCACTGGACTTCCTGGGGGTTCAGCTTCAACCTCCAAAATTCCTGGTGTCAACAGAGCGACCGTTCGCTCACATGGGCGTACCTCTGACCTCTTGGCCGGAGGGCTTACTCGTTCACACCTCTCTGCTGAAAAGAGCATATTATGGGTCTGTGATCGCTGTTTCAAGTACATGGCGGAGGGTGCAGCATGGGAAATGCATATAGTACGTCCCGATCTTGTGTTTATGGCTGGCTTATAGATATGTCTTGCTCAAGAAACAATGCGACAGAAGGCATCCACCAGGACGAAAGGTTTATCAGCGAGGTGCGCATATAATTTGGGAGGTTGACGGCGCCAAGGACAAGGTCTCTACATCTTGTTGCCCTTGTTCGAATACTTACCAAGACCTTCAGCTCTATTGCCAAAACCTCTCGCTCTTCGGAAAATTGTTTATCGACGTTAAAACTTTGTTTTTTGATTGTGACAACTGTGAGTCTATGCTTATGCCGGGAACAAGCTGAATGGCTCCAACTAACACACGCATCAGTCTTGTTCTATATCCTGACAGATGCGGATTCGCAACGAGATCACGTTCTTGGGTTCTTTTCCAAGGTATATCGTCTACTACTAATATATTTCTAGACCCGAATGTTTATTCCACCTGCAGGAGAAAATATCTTACGACGACTATAATCTTGCATGCATCATTGTTCTCCCTCCATATCAGCGCAAGGGCTATGGAATGCTCATGATCGAATTCAGTACGTGCAAGCAAGCTTCATAAAGCCGTCGAAATTGTGCGGCTCACATTACGCAGGCTACGAAGTATCCCGCCGCGCTGGTAAAATCGGCACACCCGAACGACCCCTTTCAGACCTGGGCTTGAGAAGTTATCTCACATACTGGGTGGCTACGCTCATTCGCTTCTTCAGGTACTTTTCAACTCTTCGCGCTTGCACTATCCTCATCATTTTGTGTAGACGACTTCTGTCAGTCCTCCCACCAGATCGGCCAACGATTATGTCTTCAGGGCGACTACCTGACCTAACTGGTGTGCTGCCTCCGCCTTCGGAGGATGCTAATTCGCGAAAAAAGCGGGCGAAAGGATGGGATGGGGAAACACCTGATTCAAATTCCACATTTACATCGCCAAATGGGCTGGATGGTGGGTGCCTACTCGTGTCTCCATGTGATCCCGTCCAGCACTCAACATATCTGTATGTGAATCTAGACACAATTGCAGCAATGCGCACTGTGCTGACAGTCTCTAATCCTGACGGCAGCGCTACCTCGCATGTCGTTGTACGGTCCACCCTTGCAGAGATCGCATCAGCTACGAATCTACGCATCGAGGATGCAGCGTTTGCGTTGAATGAATGTGGGCTTTTGGGGAGCACATTGGACGGTGTGGTGGGGATCACAAGGGAGATGGTGGAGACCGTGGCTAAAGAGAGGAATGTAAAGAGGATGTGTTTGGATCCTGCCCATGTCATGTTGACGTGATCATTTCGCCACCAGAAAGGCGGGTTGTGCACTCAAACACTTCGTTTATAATGTCAACTTCTTGTCGGTCGGCTGCAATATCTGACCTCAGGGAACATTGCACGTATTCATCATGTTTACGATGGAGAAAAATGAGAAATAGAATGCATGGTGAAGTATGTGAGCGATCGTAGAAGCATGTGGACATAGCATAAGTGCTATAGAGTGCGGGGCCGAGCAGGTCGGAATGAAATCGTAAATACACATGAACCATTTTACTCCTGAACAGCTGCCTCGTGCTCCACTGCAAGAATTGCTTGCCGCTTCTCTGCCAGTCTTTTGGCGCGACGTTCACGAGTGGCCTAAAAATGTCGGTGCCATATACAATTTTGAGGACTTGAAAACCAACCTTGTTCTTCCCACGGCGAGCTTCCATCTGGTCACTGAGGACCTTGGTACGGTTCTTTTCAGCCTTAGCTTTGTGAATGTACTCCATGAGGACGCGCTTGTTCTTGAAGACGTTACCCTTCGATTTTTGGTACAAGGAGTGATACCTGATCAACGCCGCCCACGTGAGGACACGAGATCAGCATACGGAGGGACCACAATATACTCACAGATGTTTGTCGATCTTGCCTGCTTCTCTGTATTTCCTCAACAACCGTCTCAGAACCCGTTGTCTCCGCATCCATTGCACCTTGGTGGGGAGACGAGCCTCAGCAGTACCCTTTCTCTTACCCGGACCAGTGTGACGACCCTTGCGCTTGGCGGCAAGAAGGTCGCGGGTGCGGGCACGGGAGTGGATAACAGTAGGCTTTATGATGACACGTCCATCTTTAATGAGTTTCTTGACGTGCGAGCGGGAGTTGGCATTCCCGATCTCAGCTTGCTCAGCAGGGTCGAGCCAGATTTTGCGCTTGCCAACACCGGCGACGGCTGCGGCGAGTCGCTTTTGAGAACGAAGGTTGACCATAGCGGTGTCTGGGTACAGAGATAAATAAATTGAGCAAAACTTGGACTAGCAGCGTTTCTCACCTTGATCTTGAGGATTGTCGATGAGGACAGCTGTGGCTTAGAATTCACAAACGTTGCCGCAATGTTACGTAATAAAGCCACTGAACCTTATCGAGTTTAACTATATAGATTTACCGGCCGTTCCCGTGGCTACTAGACCGGCGGCGGAAAGCCTTGGTCTAGCTGGTCCGGAGGGGTGAATCGTCCATACTTTATTCATATCGGAATCGTTATCATCTAGCTCAATGTCATAGAAACAATTATCGCAGATCTCCGTTTACATCAGATGGCAGAATATCGTATCAGAAGATTATGCATCCAAAGGCAGCTTCGTGGGGTCATGTAAAAATCTTATCCAAGTGCATATGAGGACTCCAAGAAGATTGCCCTCGGAAGATATTGGATGATCAAAGCTTGTCCACAACAAAGCAGAGCAATATAGAAGAGGAGTATTCCTGGACCTGTCTTGGTCCAGGTCTGTGGCCATTTTTTCCGCCAAAATTCTCTGTCACGTCCGATCATGCCGGCCCGCTCATCCCGTTTACTCACGCCACTTTTTGTTTTGATATGTTTTTTGTTTCCTCCTTTTCTCTCTCTGGACGTTACAAGGCCATTTGTATTAATCAATAAACCCATCTCATTATGTCTTATTCGTTCGGTCTCGCAGGCGAAGTCAGTGCGTGTGCCTTATCTGATTCTACAAGCACATGCAATGATGCTTGTTCGTCGCTTTCATCTTCCTTTAACGTTCTTTCCAGCGAAAATGCTCAGAGCTTCTGACATCCCTCTTCCTCGGGACGGAGAGCGATTAATAAGCAGTTGTGTTCTACACCAGAATTTCGAGTTCTATGCAGTTTCACGTAGTCGCTTGGCAATGCTTTGACTTATTATGGCCTTGACCGTTTGTGGGTTAGCTGGCTGTTATGCACTGAAAGAAATGTTGAGAGGCGTGTCAACTGTTCACATTGAATCTGAGCTGCAAAATTGGACATGATACGAGAGTTGAGAAAACTAACAGAACTGAGAAGAGCAGGTCCAGGGGGGCCTGTCAGGGCTATATCGAATGCCATCGTGAGGCTGGAAAAAGGGGCGAAATCTTTCGAGGTCTCTCATGGACATCATGGCTATATATATGCATGTCTCCCAGGGGATATCTCCACTCCTAAATTAGGTCTGGGGAAAGCCTGGAGGACTGTTTTTTGAGCAGTTGGTAGCCTATTTTCAAAGGTATGAATAGCCCGGACAAGGAAGTACTGGAAGCCAGAAGGCTAACATGTCACAGGAAGTGCTCAATATTAATATTCAATATTCAGCGCTGCAGTGCTCAGCCCTCAGCCCTCAGGGTTTAACGTTTAACGTAACGTTAACGATAAGTATAGTGCATCTATATTTACTATGTCTAAATAAATAATACTCCAAGTTGGCAACCATGATCTGATCCATCTCAGAAAGCACAATATTGAGTCAGGATTGGCCGAGCTAAAACTCTGATACTCTCAAGACAGACCAGTCTGTCAAAGGATCGGGTCGGTGTAGCTGCTCTATCCAAGCGTTGTCGAGTAGACAAGTCAGCAAACATGTAAATACCAAAAATAACGATGTTGTGGAAACCCGTGCAAACCAAATATATATTGACGAATAGCATTAACACCTAGTACTAGCGCGCCAGGTTCGTGGAATGATGTGACAAGCTGACTTTTACGTTGACAATTGAGTTGAATTGACAGACAGTCACCCCAATTGGTTTGTTGAGGCTTCAGTCCCTGTTGCTGACTCAGCCACGCCGCATCGTCGAACGTTCAAGCTAAACTTCCAAGGTTATCACCCGTTTTCATCGCATCCTGATTCTCGCCCCTTTCAATCTCTCTGTCGTCTCCATTGTCAACCTTGAACGGAACTATAATTTGGCAGATAAAAGCCCTAGTCCAGCGCTCAAGCGCTCACCAAACACCTCTTACCGGAGGGTTTAATTGTCATTTCTCGCCTTGCTATAGGCAACTCACCATCAACGGCTTGGGTTCGCCCCACGACGCACTTAGCATCGATCATCATCATCATATCATCAAACTTTTTTCAATTGTTTCAAACTAGCATGCTGTCCCTATAGGGCACGACCTTACCACACCTCTCGTTCCTTTCATCTGCGATTGGTTCTCTAACGAATACGATTCGGTATTAGGTCAGCAACGGAGACTAGTAGCCTCTGGTAACCCCCACGTTTATCTCGCCATTTCTACCACACTGTCTTCTTTCACATCAATGCTGGCTCTTGACTCAGCAGATACCCCTCAGAGCGAGGGCGAAGGCCCTGACGGCTCAGACAAGCCCCCGCTTGATTGCAGTACTCTCCAAACTTACCCCCATCATAATTCTTTGGTCAACGGTACCACGTACCACTTGACTTCGCACATGCAACCGCCCAAGGTAGTCAATGCTGTCATCGGCGGAACACCCCGCTCGGCAACGCCCTCCGTAACTGATTCACCTTCACCATCGGAGAGCGGCAACTGGAGTGCTCCTTCAACCCGTCCCCCAAGTCAGGCCGCAAGCCGGGCTCCTAGCTTGTCAGGCGGTGTGTCGGGCAACAGGCTAACCGTACCACATACGTCAAAGACTGCTCAGAAGGGAAAACCTTCGCCGTCAGAAAAACCTCCCTCGACGCCTACCAGCCGCTCTAGGGCACCATCTAACGCTCACTCGGACAGTGGGCAGAAATTCACTCTCAAAGATCTTATCACTGCTTCTGCACCTAAACTCTCACGCAAGTCTTCCGCCCGTTCAACTAGTAGCAAGAAGTCAGACTCTGACGTGGACCGAAAATCGGTTGGTGGTGAGAGCACAGCCAGTCTGACGCAGAAGTACGGTGTTTGCCAAAAGGTTGCTATTGGAAAGGGAGCCACATCTGTCGTCCGCTTAGCTCACAAATGGGATAGAAGTGAAGAGAAGCTGTACGCTGTCAAGGTAAGCAGACCTGCCAGTCACTAGTCCCGTCTTTGCCCATCACAGCCTCTGGCTGGTGCTGATCACATCTTTTATATCAAGGAGTTCCGTAAAAGACGAAAGAATGAATCAGAAAAGGAGTACGTCAAGAAACTCACTGCAGAGTTTTGTATTTCCTCCACCTTGCATCACATCAACATAGTCGAGACGGTGGATCTCGTTCAGGACGAGAACCAACATTGGTGCGAGGTCATGGAATTTTGTCCTGGCGGGGATCTCTACGCCGCGATCAAGAAGGGTGGTATGTCCCCCAGTGAAGTCGAGTGCTGCTTCAAGCAGATGCTTTCGGGTGTTTCGTACCTCCACAGTCAAGGTGTCGCACATCGCGATATCAAACCCGAGAATCTCTTTTTTGACACCAAGGGCCATCTGAAGGTGGGTGAACGTGCATTATGTATTCTTGTCTTCTCATGCTCTTGTAGATCGGCGATTATGGTGCATCAACTGTGTACCGCCTGCCATGGGAAGCGACAATTCACATGTCGACGGGACTTTGCGGTAGCGAGCCGTACATTGCCCCAGAGCAATTTTTAGGCAAACGTAAGCCACATACAACCCTCTTTGATTCAGTTACCTAACTGCGTAGACAATAATTTCTTTACCTTGACTTAGCATATGACGCCCGCTTAGTTGACATATGGGCGTGCGGTATCGTGTATTACTGCCTTCACTTCCAAGAGATGCCCTGGCGTGCTGCTCAAATGTCCGATACGCTCTATGCAGCGTATGTTGCAGCCTGTGGAGTTCAGCACAAAGACAAGGATAAAGACAAGGATGTCGTTTTCCCACCGACTATCAACAATCTGAGCCCACGGGCGTGCCGCAGTCTAATCCGGAGGATGCTTGAGCCCGACCCAAAATTGCGCTCTCCGATTGAGGACATTGTGGCGCATTCATGGGTGCAGGGTATAGAAGTTTGTCATGCTGTAGCAAAACCTACGCATGTGCATGTGCATGCGATGCAGCAAGCGCAGATCATGTCATCATGAGGCGCGTTCTTACGGGGGGCACGTCGCATGTGCCAACACCTTGTATGTTGTGTTGTAACCTAATATCAGCCCTCTTGGAACACAGCGCTGCCTGTATTCTTGAAGCATAATACAAAGAGAACAATATGCCTCTCCTGTTGTAGTATCCAATTTTCCTTCTGCTATTACATCTGTCACCGTCTGCGCGCCTGCTTACCATAGATCCTTGTAGTACTTACTTGGCCATGGAATGGATGTCTTTATGCCATTGTCGAACAGCGCAAGGGATCCTTCGCAGTATGGAATATGTCATAGAACAGTACGGTATTGTGGTATGTAATAATGAGGTAGGGTAAAACGAGAATCATGCCCCGTCGTTGCCTGGAAAATCAGAAGTCAATACAAGACTGGATTGCATCTAATTTATCGACAACATACCACTCTCCTTCGTCCAATCATCATGTCGCTTGATGTCCACCTCGGTGACCGTTGGTCGTACGTTGTCTAAACTCTTAATGAAATCTGCTAGCCTCAGCGGTGGTTCTACAAGCTCATCAGAGTCAATATCCGACCAAGTCTTTTCGACGGCATTTGGATCGCCCGGTGAGCATGGTGTCCACTTAGCCTTTCCTGACGACGAAGAAAGTGGTATAGGCTTGAAATGTGTCGCCGATATGACTTTGCGAACTGGCTGCATAAGAGCATCGCGAACCACGATGGATATATCCGAACCAGAATACCTAGGTAGGTAGTTGGATGGATCACCTCAGTTAGATGAAGCTAAAAGATCATACCCTTCCGTTCGATCGGCCAGAAGACGATAGTCCTTTGGCTCTAGCTCGCATGGCGTACTGCCAACGTGAATTTCAAACATTCTTTTCCGCGCATCCGGGCCAGGAAGTGGGATATATATTCGTTTCTCGAAACGACGCTTGATTGCAGGATCAAGTTGCCAAGGGATGTTAGTTGCCCCGAGAACGAGAACGCCTGTGTCATCATGGCCAACGCCATTCATTTGCACCAAAAACTCAGTCTTGATCCGCCGTGAGCCTTCAGATTCAGATTCATTTCGTGTTCCGGCTAGAGAGTCGACTTCATCGATGAAAATAATTGCAGGTTTTTGTTCGCGAGCCATTTCAAACAAATTCTTTACCAGCCTAAGGAATCTGAGGTGAACTGAACATAATATAGTGTTAAAACACCAACCGTTCTGAATCGCCTTGCCACTTGCTGACCAAGTCACTTGAGCTGACGCTGAAAAAGGTGCTTTTGGCTTCTGTGGCAACAGCTTTCGCCAGGTAGGACTTGCCCGTTCCCGGCGGGCCATATAGTAGGATACCTCGCCATGGTGTCCGTTTTCCAGTAAAGAGATGGGGAAATTTGATAGGAAGAATAACAGCCTCTTTAAGAGATGCCTTCGCTCCTTCCAAACCAGCAACATCATCCCACTTCACATTCGGTTTCTCTGCTAGGATAGCGTTTGAAAGACCTGCGCGTAGTTTCTTGAGCTCAGGGTCTTTGTCCTCATCGGGATTGTCAACAGAGCCCTTTCCACTGGTGCCATTCACTGAACCATCAGCGCTGACGACTTTGCGCGACTTCTTCTCATCTCTCTGTAAATGCTTCTTCAAGGTCTCCGCTCGCGCAAGATACTCCTCAATTTTCGCTCTGACGAGTAGCTTGGCTTTTTCATTCTTCTCGTCTACATTGGCATCTATACTGAGTGCAGACTGCAGAATATGCGGAAGTGGACATACACTTCTGAGCCAGCATGAAGTAGTCGAGTGAATTCATGTACTGCTTGTATGCTTCAAGATAGTTCTGCTTTTCATCATCCTCGATAGCACCCTTGACAAGCTCTATGGCTTTCTTCAGATTTGTTAGAAATCCACAGATCCAGAAGATCTAGAACGACACTCACATCTAGATTGCTTTGCGATGACATGGAGTGATGAAATGACTGAAAGGCAAGCTTTGCCGCAGTACCATTAATATATGACATAAGCGATTTGGATTAATTAGGCGTCGCTCAGTCGGAAGTCTTTCGAATTGAATCCTGGAACATGGCCAGCACGCCGGAATGGACTCATCCATTACCAACTGCACTCTTCGACAGATTGTTACCAAAGCTCGCTATGGTACTTGAACTCGCCCAAAAAGCAGAGGGGACTGCAACTCCTGTGGCTAAACACGCACTGCTACATGCGGTATGTCCTTTTCTACGGCAAGATGGAGAGTAGTTTGATCGGCGTCCTAGTAGACGAATGAATTCAAATATGCACTTGCTCAAGCGAAAGATTATGCAAGTACACTTGAAGGAGGTGACCTCTTAGTCCAGGAACAGGACAGTGTAGTTGCAATGCTCGAGATGCTGAAACGGCACAAGCAGTGAGTTCCAAATCCTATCTTGACCGCGAATCCAGGGAAAATTCACCATCAGGCAACAATTAATGCAATTTGCATTGGAGGTTGGGTCTTTGTCCACCACCGCAATTCCCAATGTCAGTTCAAAGATGGAGATTGATTCTACCGCTTCAACCCCATTTGCTTCTGGTGATCAATTATACTTATTAGGGGAGCTCACATCGGGGGTTTGAGAGTTTTTCGACAGGCAAGGCTTGAAGAATGTGACGCTGGAACTATAACAAAATTTGGCTGCCAGCATATGCATATGACAGAGCAAAATAACACATTTCGATCGCTAGCAAGCTATGAGCATTATTGATAACATCGAAGAAACTTCTCATGTCTGACAATGCTAATACAACAACTGAAACACTCTCCTCAAATCCCTCTACATGAGAAAACCGAGAGTTTGACGGAAACTTCATCAATCAACGTCTTGAATTCGTCGAAGAATTCACAAAGGGTCATATCCAAAATGGATACACCTTATTGCAAATACAAACCATTCTCCATGCAGCTATCGCAGAATTTGACCACCTTACCCAACTCGACTTCAAACCAGGCTTCCGACATTGGATGACTTTCCATGGGCAAAATAATGTGGAATAGAATATCTCGGAGTCTCCAAAACATTACCAATAACGAAGATATGTTAATCTATACCAGAATAATCCCCCATACGCTCAGCCAAATACATTTAATTGTGTTCTTGATGTGATGGAAAATCTTACAGTCCAGTACTTGATTCTTGATGAAGATGAGGCAGACCTTTTTGAAGACGATGAAAGAGCTCAGACACTGGCTGCCACTATCATTGCTGGAAGTGAGGTATCACGACAAGACCACATTGACACTCGTAACCCTCATCATTTATATCTTTGCTGACCCCAACTTCTTTTAAATCCTCACATCAACACCCTGTGGCATGTACTGTACAATAGCCAGAATGATTGAGTGTTCATCACTACAATGGGTGTGGATGTGTCTACTTTCTCTTTGCTACTTACTACAGGATTTGCACAATACTGGTATGAGACACCAGTCCCTTGTTATGACGTCTCTGTATGCAGAAATCCACAGCCAAATCAGTGCTCCCTCAATGCTGCAGGGGCACTTGGGCTTGTTCTACATTATCTCAGCTCTACCATGCATGCTGTCAGCCTCCAGCAAATCTTTGCTATCATCCCCAGTACTGTCACTTGATATCTCAGCTTCAGTCTTGAGCTTTTGCTATGCACCCTTCACACCATCCAAGATGCCAAAATTCAATGGCCAGGAGGCCTAGATTTTGAGCATTGCAGTGAGCTCGTTGTGGCGCATCATGGGAGACTGAGAGGAGCATTCAGCAGTATTGATGGCCTCAAATTACCTGTGCAAACATCTGAAGATGTTGACATTGAGAATGCAACATTTAACTGGTGACTCTCAGAACATTTCATTAGTTCTGTATTAGTATTTTCAGCAGAAGGTAAGTTTGATACAGACTCGCTATAGTCCTGATTAACCATCTTACAGGGGTGATCATTGCTGCGCAGTTGAATGCCCTGGGCAGTTGGCATGACTCACGTGTTGCTCATCAAATCTATGTCTCCTTTCAAAACAGCATTCCTACATGGCAGCAACAACATCCAGGGCTAGACCTGCGCACCTCTCAAACAGGGCCAACACATTCAAGGCACACTTGCCGAGATTGACGAACAGATGGTGTTCAATCATGAACTCCTTTCTTACCAGCAGACTGCTGAATGGAGCATGCATGGTCTTCAAGGTGCTTTTGGAGGATTGCGTGTACCACTCAAAATCAGTGACAAAGACTTGTGAGGTGATCTCATTGAGATCTGTGTGTGATTGCACAATCTGCATATGATCTGAGTTGGCATCAATCAAATATGGACAGTGTACCTCAAACATTGGCAGGAGACGGATGATGATATTGCAGTCTGGAGTGATTTTGAGAATATGTTATTTTCAGAGCAAAGACAGAAAGATCGAGTTGCGTGTTTCCATGTCACACTAGAGTACAAGTAGACAGTTTGTGGCTTCAATTAAAATAACTACACTATCACAATGCAATCATATGTCTATCTATATAAGCTGCACGAGTACCTTGAGCCGAGGAAGCGAGAAACAAGATCTTTGAGCAGAGAAACAAGAAAACAATCTAACTAAGCTGCATGAGTATCTTGAGTGAGGAAAGTCAGAGATCACACCTTATTGATCTAAGCTGTGCAAGTACCTTAAGCGATTACACCTCTGGTGTCTGACAACGAGCTGGCTGGCAGGTCATCCACATCATCCATAGCCACACTTTTGAGGTCTGTGCATACCTCGGTCTCTTTCCTACTAGAACAAATAATTCTGGAGTTGCATTGCAGTCCACCATGCAAATGGGGTCTGGATGCCCAGCGATGGTGGACAAAGCAAGGAGAAGGGGTGGAATTGAAAGGAGGAGGAGTAGGATGGGTGTATTGAGAAGAAGATGGACGGTGGTCTGAAGCATCAGATGCTGGGGTGTCACATTGGCTGCCATTAGGGTAGTAGGTATAATCCGCTTGTTTGGGTTTGCACTGGTGATGAGTTTTGTGAGCGGCTTTGTTGGGAGGAGGCTGTTGCATTTGTGTCATCTCCAGACAAAGCTGGGTAAGGTCATGCTCAGGCTTGGCTTCATACAGTCTCGTCTGCAAGTCAAACAGTTAGGTCCACAATTTCTCTGCAACTCCATTGGCATCACTCAGTTGCTGCCCCTGGGCAGGCAACTGCATGTTTGCAAGAGACCTGGTAGCGTGATCGTCATCCCGAGCTTGCTGAACAGCAGGGTCAAAGGCCCCACTAATATGAGAAAGCAACTCTGAAGCTGCTGCATCTCGACGACACAGCATATGTGTATCAGTCTGAGTGGCACGAGTGACCACAGTGTGCTCCAGAGGTGACATACTTCACACCTTGATGGGTTGTTCATTGCAATTTAACTCGTTGTCGTAGGTATTGTGGTCCAAGTCATTTAGGTCATGGGTACCAGCATGTTCATTGATAAGAGCATCAAGCTCATGGGCACAAGTTATGTCAGGAGGACAAACTCTATTGCCCATGGGCTTCATGGTCTTTACGGAGAGGACAGCCATTATGGCCTGCCCACTGTGTGAACTTCGAGTGTATCAGTTGCCACCCTTTCTGGCCCAGAGGAACAACATCCTCAACAAAGTCAAGAAGCGCTTTGATGTCAGCCGTGCTATAGTTGTTGGAGCCATTGGGCCAACCGCATTTGGTCCTTCGATAATCTTTATTGGCCTCAATAGCATGTGCATGCTTTTGAGGGTGGTTAGCACTGTGTAGGCCAGTGTTCTCTTTATCTTTCCACCTGCTTTTGATACTTCTAGTAGCCTTGTGATGTGCCCCGCCAACTTTGGTAGCAGGTGCATATCCATGAGACTTGGTGATCACCACAGGCTCCAGAAGGTCCCTATCTGGTAAGTCTGGGAGCAGGATATGAGCAGGGTCTTGGTATGTGCTGGGTGGCAGGAGGCAGGACTCAGATGGTGAGGGTGGTGACGATAAGTGAGACTGCAAGAAGTTGGCAGGAGTGGTGAGTCCATACATACAGGGCACTGCTGCATGTCGCTACAAGGTAAATCAGTACATGAAGGTCAGATAATGGTTGGGACTTACACCATATACCTGGGACATGTGACTGTCTTTGGACTGCTGTACTTGAGTCAAAACCTGTGCAATGCCTGGATGCAGCTTCCAAAGGCCTAGGTGATCACACACATATGTATTACCTGCATTATCATAGTGCAACTTGGGAATCATTTGGCTAGCAGGGACAGACATAGATTGGAAAGGCGAATATTAGATGTTGGAGGGACTGGAAGTTTGAGTACTGACCTTGTGGCTACTGGTATCTGAACTTTATATGATCCAAGTCTTTGTTGAGCCATCCACCATAAGGGGTGGAGATGTTCATAGTAAAATGCTCAAGGCCCCTGCATTGGTAACTGTGCAATACAGGCATGCAAAGGCAAAATGGATGGACTATGGGTGTGCCGAGTCCATATCGAGGGACTGAAAGTAAATTTTGGTTGTCAGAGGGTGAGGATTGATTGGAGATAGACAATAGGACAGATTGAGCCAGTTTGGAAGCACTAGTGACATGCTGGTCAGGTAAGAGGTTCATTGTGTCATACTGGGTGCTGGTCATCCTCTAAATAGAGCTGGAATTGAGAGAATTTAGCATACTTGGTCAGAGGATGCAAATGTACCTTGGTATCACTGCGCCAGGCGGTTGCATTGCATGACATGCATGTTAAGCAAGGCAGATTATGTCAGCATATATTACTGGCATTAGTGGCTAAAAATGGAAGGGAGTCGTTTATTTTAATCTGCAAAATCTAGAAGGGGGGAGGGGTACCCCCCTATAGATTAAGGTTTATTAGAGGGAGGTAGGTGACACATGCTTGCAAATTGATTGCAAATGAACAGCAGCATTGTAGTACGCCTGCCTAATATGGTCAGATTTATGATATGATAATCTAATGAGAATTTTTCAAGCCTATGGAAAGTCATCCATTACCTGGAGTTGCTTGACTGAGCAGACAATAATAATTGTCAGAAAAAAGTTTCCAGGGTTTGATTGGGTTTGATTTTTATTTACACTAAGCTAATGGGTTGCATGATTGCCAGTGTTGTTACAGGCAGCATGTTACTCTGTTTGAGTCTGACTCAAATATTGTTTTGCTCAAACCTCAGAGTCTGCATGGGGTTTGCTGGCCATTGGCAGCCAAAGTCAGTGCACATCCCATGTGTCTGAGTTGGTTTATCTTATTTCAGGCTCCATCCTCATATGGTAGAGCTAGGAACTTACCTAGCAGGCAATACAGGTTGTTGGATTTGGAGCATACAGGCAACTCAGAGTTTGATACTCACAAAGTGCACAGTGCATTATATAATATTGGTAATGTTCTGGTAATGTAGTTATCCGACCGAAAGCATAGGTATTTCACAGTAGTATATAAGACTAGTTTACATTTTTTGTACACTACACATTATCTACAGGTTCCCTGTACACCTGAGTTTGGTCATACTTCAATGAATGTGTCTGAGACTTGTAGTAAACTCAACACAGGTGGATTGAGTCTATCCTCTTTCTAACCTTTCCTGTTGCTTCACTAGCTGTTTTTGAGTGAGATATTTAACTTCGTTATCATTATACTTCATGTCAGATAATGGACACACCTCACAACAGCCACAACAACTGAACTTCTGGAATAGTTGTCTGAGGTCATCTCTGACCTCTCCTACATTGAATAATGTAATGAGCTCATCAATCAATACTGACTCAGTCAAAGTGGGAAAGCTAGCACGATTCTCGCCATCCATGAGGTGCTCCCTAAGTCATGAGCTGTCTGGAATAGAAGGAACTCTGATGAAGTGCTTGACACCTTTATTGGAATACTCAACAATATTGACTCAACCAAGTTTCAGGCAGCAGAGTGAGGACAACAACAAGTGATCAGTTCACGGAAGAGAAAACTCAGTGAGAGAATAGGGGAAGTGAGCCCAATGAAGAGGCAGAAGTGGTCAGAAAGTGGACTAGAAGTGAATCCAATTCTGAAGGAGAAGATGAATCCTCTATTAAGCAAGGAAAAACAGTCAGCTCTAGCAAGTTCCTGTGGTCCAGTAAAAGAACGTCTGTATATGCCTCTTTACCAGAGGATATCTGAGAAACCTATAAGCAACTCAAAAACTTTGCCGCTGATCCAAATAGTGTTGTTTGCAACATCTTATCCACTCCAGGATGCCCATCTTTCCCTCCCAGTGAATGGCTTAATGTTGTCCACTGGAAATACATCAATCTCAGAAGTGCTCAACTCAGTACATACCATGGAGTTGGACCTTAAAAAGACCCACATCATTTATAATGAGATTGAGCTTGCCCTCCAAGTATCCAAATCAGTCAAAGGAATTAAATCCTCTTTGGACCACAATATTGCCTTCTCTATGTACATTGAAGCTGTCAGATTTATCTTTCCTTAGTGATGGGAAGAATATGTCCAATATAACACCTATCTTAGTTAGCTCTTCCATGCCATGGAAGTCAGACTCCACTCTCAGGTCATCAAATTCAATCACTCAGTCAGAAACCAAGTGGCCATGCAGAGAAACCTTCATCTCACTGATTATTCCTAGTTTGAGCATCTCAGAATGACCTTCCTCACCTCCTTTGGCATTGGTGTCAATACTGCCTCATCCATATCTGAGCCAGGGGAGGATCAAATCAGAGAGAGAGAGTTGGAGGAAGGGATGATCCCTGTCATAAATGGAATTGAGGAACCTGTTAGAAGTCTGAGAGTGAGTGTTGATTCATGCACTGCTGTGATTGGAGAGGGTGTAAAGGACCTCACAGAAAATTGGACTTCCCAAACAAAGGAGGATCTAAATGAGTTGATTGCCACTGGACTGTGTTTCAAACGAAAAGGTGTTTGGAGTAACAGAATACATATTGGGATGTAGTTGAACTGCTTTTTTTTGACTGAGACAGTGACTCTACTTCCACAGCCTCTGATGCAAGAGTTCTTTAATTGTGGTGCATTAGACACTATCCAAGGCCATCCTGCGCTCTTCGAAGTCTCTATTCCAATCAAAATCGACATCTTTGAGTTTTTATGTCAAAGGTGAGAACTCAAGTAATATGAGCCTCAGTCAACAGTAAAAGAGACTAAGATTCTTGTGGATCAACCTAAAGTAGTACAAGCCTAGAGATACACTACTACTAGAGAATTTTACTCGTTGTTAGCAGTGACTATCTAAGTCTCGTGCACTAGTTGTCTGCCCTTTGCTTTAACATCAGCCAACCATAGTTGGGGTGTTATCAGTTGTCTCACCTTGCTTCTTTTTAGTCTATCTCGCTCTCGCTCACACGTGCTATCTTCGCGTCATGTACCTCACACTTCGCCTTTTGCACTCGCACGTCCACATATCATATCTCACATCGCTCTTGTTATGTGCTTTGCACATTCCAAGTCCTATTACCCTGGTAGTAGTGTGGTGTCCCTCTTTTTATAAGAGAGGTTTCCCTTGACTCAGACAGCTGCCCTTGGGTTGATATTTCACTTGCACCCAGGACTATCTGTGTTTCTTTGGCTTAGCACTAACTTTCCTTGCACTATAGATTCCTCATCTTCACTGCTCTCCTCTCCTTTCTGCAGTAGCTTCTGCACTGACACTGACACCATTTCAACAGCCTCCAAGTCCCATCTATACTCTTACCTACTTGTTACTCTCAGAATTCCTGCTACACCAATCCTTTGAATATAATGAAGTCTGCCATATTTTTGCCTACAAGAAAGTTGCTAACAAAATCAAGCCAGTCGCCACAATGATGCCAGCCCATGCATGGATCATTCATTGCATTCCCAAAGACCCACTTCTCACCTTTCCTGTGCTCTCACCTGTTCCTTCCAATTTTACCCCTGGAACATGCCTAACACAGGAATGAATGGATGATTTGGGAATTTTCAAAAATGACTTTCTCTGGCCCAAAGAATAGAAACTTGCAGCACAAGTGCTAATAAACAACGAGCAAGCTCTTGCATGGGATGAGTTGGAGAAAGGGTGTTTCAAGGATGAATACTTTTCTCCAGTCATCATTCCGACTATCAAACACACACCTTAGGCACATCACCAACCTTCCATTCCACTGGGTATTAAGGAAGGAGTCATCAAGCTTATTCAGTCCAAGATAGCTTCAGGCATCTATAAACCATCAAACTCATCATATCAATCCTGCTTGTTCTGTGTGGCAAAGAAAAGCAGAGCCATCCGCATTGTTCATGACTTATAGCAGCTTAACTCCATCACTGTCAAGGACGCAGCACCATGCCTTATATAGAGCATTTTGCAGAACAGTATGCCGGATGAGCCATATATTCAATGATGGACTTATTTGTTGGCTTCAATCACTGAGCTCTTGCAGAAGAATCACACGACATCATCACATTCCAGATGCCTCTTGGCACCTTTCATCTCACAGTATTGCCTCAAGGTTGGACAGACTCACCAGCAGTCTTCCAAAATGATGTAGCTGTCATTTTGCAGGATGAGATTGAGGTCGCACCAAACTTACAAGACAATGCCAATGTCCTGGGGCCTCATACTCAATATGAACTTCCTGACGACACTTATGAACTCTCCTCCAGCAACAAACTTATATAATGTTTTGTTTGGGAGCATTGTTTAGACACAAATTGAGTTCTTCACCGCCTCAAACATGCAGGTGCAATTATTTCCACCAAGAAACTCATTGTATGTGTTCCAGAGGTCATTGTTGTTGGTCAGCAATGCACCTATGAAGGCCGATGGACTAGGGCTAAGGGGCTCGCAGTCTAAAGACAGAGCAAGCAAGCTAAGATGAGATGATGCTATACTACAACACACTGGAACCTGGTCTGTATGCTGACTAAGCTAAGGAAATGGCTGACAGAGCTCTGGGTGTGCAGCTCCAACCCTTGGGACCCCTAGTCCATGCACCCCCCTAAAAAGAACCGGCACCGCCCTCGATGCCACTCTACTCCTCTATTATCCACTTCCCTTCCCTCTTACTGATCTGTCTTCCTTCTTGTTCTCATCTTCATCCTCTTCTTCACTCTCATTATCTTCTTCATCTGTTTCATTTTTATCTTTGTTTTCGTCCTCTTCACTATTCTTTCCTTTCTCTCCTATACTCTCTACTTTGTCTTCGCTCCTTTGCTTCGCTTCATACATCTCTTGTTTCTTTGCTAATTGTGTGCCTGTCCTGGGAATAAATGCTCTCAAGTGTCTTGTGCTGAACTCTC